CCGTTTTGCATTCAAAATCAATTAAAATTACATTCAAATTATATCCAAAAAATGTTCATAAATCTCGATATTCATGATGCTAAAACGATACTGGCAGTTTTTTTCTAAAGATAAAAAAAACAAAACTCTCTTCAAACTGGCCATGGAATAACCTCTTTTAGCTTATTACGTTACATTATCTGTGCAGACAAGAACGAGCCCGGTCGGTTCCTCGGCGAGGGCGTCTCGTTTCGCGCCAAGCTGATAGGCGTGCTCGAGGTGCCCGAGGCTAGGGGAGACCGCATGTGCCAGGAGGCTCTGGCCGACCTGAAGATGGCCATACGAGCCGCTGGAGAACACAAGCAGAGGATACAAGTGCACGTGGCCATTGATGGGCTGCGGCTACGGGATGATAAAACGGGTGTAAGTCATTACCATCATTAGGTTATTTAGTCTCCAGTCTCCACTGCAGGAGCACCCTTTTGGTAATTTATGGCACTAAAGATGGCCATTCGAGCCGCCAGCGAGCACAAGCAGAGGATACAAGTGCACGTGGCCATTGATGGGCTGCGGCTACGGGATGATAAAACGGGTGTAAGTCATCATCATTATACTATTTAGTCTCTCCGCGGCAGGAACACAAGCTTTTCTCATTTACGAAACTGAAGATGGCCATATGCCCCGCCGGCGAACATAAGCAGAGGATACAAGTGCACGTGATGGCCATTGATGGGCTGCAGGCTGCGCGATGATAAAACGGGCGTAAGTCATTACCATCATTAGGTTATTTAGTCTCCAGTCTCCACTGCAGGAGCACCATTTTGTAATTGCGAGACTGAAGATGGCCATACGAGCCGCTGGAGAACACAAGCAGAGGATACAAGTTCATGTGGCCATTGATGGGCTGCGACTGCGCGATGATAAAACGAGTGTAAGTCATCATCATCATCAGAAAATCATTTAGTCTCCACTGTAGAAGAATGAAGTTTTACAAGATTGAATAGGCCATGTGCGCCACTGGTGAGCATAAATAAATAATAATAATAAATAATGTAAGTCATCATCAGTAGATCATATTAAAATCTCTACTGCAGCAGTACGACTCATCCTATTTACCTGAATCAAATGGAGGATTCTTTCTGTACTACCCACGCTAGCCAAATGGATTGGAGTCTAATTAAACTAAATTTAGTTTCTACCTGTTTGGTCCAAGATCAAAGTCAAAATTTCTTTATTTGTTTAGACTAATAAATAGTTCTTACAAACTCATCCTAGCTCTAAAATGGTAGTTATGGTCATGATGATTCAAGTTTCGATTGTCAGGTACTCAGACTTCCCTTCCCTTCTAAGCAAACCTAATGATGAAATAGCATTATGTTCATCAACTTATGCTTAGATGAAGCACTTCCGCTGGTTAATAAAGCACTTTATACAAATCAAACTAAATGTGGGCTGGTGATCAAAGTCAATCAGACGCGCAAAAATATGTTTGAAGACTCCGGATGCGTAAAGTATCTCTACCTAATTCAAGTATCACAGTACAGACACCTGTTTTGACTGCTGGTGGATACTGCATTTCATTAGGTTTTGTGTATCTCAAGTTTAAGCGACTTCTTTGATCGCAATATTTTTATCCAGGACTCACTGTACCACCACCCGGTGCACAAGATATCGTTCATCGCGCAAGACATGACGGACTCGCGAGCATTCGGCTACATATTCGGCTCGCCCGACACAGGTCACCGATTCTTCGGCATCAAGACTGATAAGGCTGCTAGTCAAGTAAGTTGTTATTTTAACCGACTTCAAAAAAAGGAGGAGGATCTCAACCTTTATTTTTATTACATTATGTTGTCCTGTCGCATCGTCGCATTGCATAGTTGTAATTTGGATGGTGCGGTCGGTAACCGGTACGGGCTATTGGCAAAAGCGCTGTTGGCATTTAATTTTTGAGCTGCGCTAACCACACGGTTTACCATGAAACCACTATACTGAATACATTATTTTAAGGTTCAACCATTTTATTTCCGTAAAATATAATGCCCCAGAACGACTCGATGTTTAGTGGGGTAAGATGTGTTTTTTAACACTGATTTATTTTTGAAAACTATACCAACTATACCGAGTTAAATAAAAAAAAAGTTATAAGTTTAATAAATACTTTGTCTACCTGTATAGTTCTACTCATGATTAATTAACTAACTCGCTTGTAACTGATGAATCCGCATCCATATATTGAGATCATTATGTTAGCTCAGACATAGTAACATCGTTTATATTAGCTAGCATACTGAAGTAGCTTTATGCTTGACATACAGCATCAGAATTCCTCGCAGCGGTGCATTGTATGACAATTTAGGCGACATGTTTTACAAATCATTTTATTGTATTACAATGCAGTCACGAATCACTACCTAATCTACTTTAGCCATTTGGCTATATTTGTATTGGTTCATCAAACATCGTTTAGTCTTACAAACTGAGCTTTGGACTGCTGATAATTTATCCTACATTACTAATGCTCGTATCGGCTTGGACAACGTGTCTCTTATTATAAAGAGTAATGTGTGAGACGCTATTTTGTCTGTCCAGTTTGTACTACTTCTGGTAGATAACAATGCTACTAAGTACCTAATTCTTTAGTTGGGATAAGATAGCAAAAGAATTTTTGCATGCCAAGCAAATGTCATTAGGTTAGTCATGAGAGAACGAGATTAAAAATGGCTCGAATTCTACCAAATATCTAAGCCTAATCCTTTAAATTCCGCACTTACCCTAGGTATCAATTTGTTATATGCTTAGGTAATTCCAAATACTGGGTCTGATGCAGAATGTGCACTTCGCAATATACTCACTTCTCTATGCTAGCTTTTGTATACCATATAGCTAAGTAAAGTCTGAAGACTTTGTTTCTGTAATATGTAGGTATTAATATGAAAAAGTGCCGTGCGTCAGACCTCAAATACCAATCCCGTTGAAATTAATAGCCAAGTCATAACCCTCAACCATTCCTATTCCATGGTAAATATGATTGCAGGTAGTTATAGCGATGCGGGACTTATTCCAAGTAGTGTTCGAGCTGAAGAAGAAAGAGGTGGAAATGGCCAAGCAGCAGCTAGAAGGAAAGACAGTCACCAGCTCGCTAGTGCGCCACGCTGCCGCCGCCGCTGTGGAGACCAAGTCTAAGGTAAGCAGCATCATCATCATCATCAGATATCATCACCGCTGCAGGAAAACGGCCCTCTTAATTTACCAGATGCAAATGCAGGACTTATGCCCGTTTTCACCATCAATCCCTAATTTTTAAATGGGGTAACACCACAGAATAATAATAAGTACTTAGTAACACATAACAGGAATTTTGCCGGCCCTCTTTGCCAAAGGCAAATGCAGGACTTAGCGTACTCTCTCTACCCTGACTAGAGAAGTTGGAGGCTTGATTTTTGCAGATTTATCCAAGAGTCACCTACGACATCCACGGGAAGAGAAAGAGTGGACTTGCGTGGTACCACTCATGGCTATTTTTGCCATTGATATCTCAATTGTAAACAATTGCGACCTCCTCGTTTTTTATTGTTTTTAGCATGTAGTTTCTCCAATAGGCTAGTTGCCTAAAAATTTTTTTTTAGACCGTAATGTTTAATATCAAAAAATATTGGACACATATATTTTTATTTGTCAATCTAACAAATAATTACATAGTTATGGTGCGTTGAAGTTGCGCACGACGTCACGACGTGCGGCATTTTTAAGCAAGCGTTGACGTCACGGGCCTCTTCTTATGAACTTTGGCGCGCTTTATCTCTTTAAATTTTCATTAGTTTGAAAAAGTGAAAAATACGTGTAGAGTATTTTTTGATAAGTTAACTGACGGACTAATTAAAACTCTTGCTTTTTTCCACGGACCCTTTCGGAGACTCCTTCATCATGCCCGCACAGTCACAAGTGAGTAATATTTTTATAATAAGGTATTTAATTTGCGTGGCTAGGGGGCGTGGCAGAGCTGGTGGACTTGGAACAAGAGCTGTGCTCTTTGCGGCGGGGGCTCACGCAGGTTGAAGGGCTCACCCCTTCTACGGACCCTTTCGGAGACTCCTTCATCGTGCCCGCACAGTCACAAGTGAGTAATATTTTTATAATAAGGTATTTAATTTGCGTGGCTAGGGGGCGTGGCAGAGCTGGTGGACTTAGAACAAGAGCTGTGCTCTTTGCGGCGGGGGCTCACGCAGGTTGAAGGGCTCACCCCTTCTACGGACCCTTTCGGAGACTCCTTCATCGTGCCCGCACAGTCACAAGTGAGTGAGGTTTTATAAATGGGACTTATAGTGGCTAGAGGGGCGTGGCAGAGCTGGTGGACTTGGAACAAGAGCTGTGCTCTTTGCGGCGGGGGCTCACACAGGTCGAAGGGCTCACCCTCTCCACGGACCCTTTTGAAGACTTAAGAGCAAAATGACGATTTGTAAGAACTATTTATTAGTCCAAACAAATAAAGAAATTTTGACTTTGACTTTGACTTTTGACTCTTATATCGTGCCCGCTCAGTCTTAAGTGAGTGATGGTCTTCAAATGGGACAAAAAATATTATGTTAGCGAGCAGCGATGCGACGTGGCAGAGCTGGTGGACTTAGAACAAGAGCTGTGTTCTTTACGTCGGGGGCTCACGCAGGTCGAGGGGCTCACCCCCTATGTAAGTGATGTTTTTCAAATGAGACAAAATGTCCCAAGATGAAAATGATATTTGAGTTTGCGATAATAATTTGTAGTTGAATCTCCTACCCCCACTACCTTTCACTTTATCGAGTCAAAAGCAAACCCCGCTTACGCTCACGCAGTGTTCAGTCCAACAAGATACATTGTTTAATTATGAAATCATCTGTTTGCATTGTAGGGTCTTTCCTCGCACCACTTTTCACATTGTCAAATCGTAAGATCAACATCAACTTCGCCACTCGCTCGGAGTTCGGCCACAACGAGACACATTGACTGAGACTGTGCGTCACATGTACAAAATTATGTTCTACCAAGTGCCAACCCTAACCCATGTGACATGCAATAATGTAATGTAATAATGTCTGCTCGTTTGCCTCCTATCACATAAAAAAAAATGAATTTGACAAAGAGCTCAGTGTATAGTTATACCTATGCGCGTGCCACGACACCACACGAACGTACGGCGAATACACTCAGTGCATTACGAGCAGCCTGGTGTTTCACTCGTTCCCACGTATTTACCAGTGGCGAGTGGCGACGAGGATGGGATTCAGCAGAGCTCAACCATCATCTGTTATTTCTTGTCCATTGCAGAAGGGTCTCCTCCCCCCTCCCCCTTCAGGATCGTCCAGCCGGGGCCGCAATACCCCGGCGACCACCACGCGCACCGTATTCAGCCCTAACAAAGCCCCGGCGACGCCTTACCCATGTGACATGCAATAAATAATTTGAATTTGACAAAGAGCTCAACCGTCATCTGTTATTTCTTGTCCATTGCAGAAGGGTCTCCTCCCCCCTCCCCCTTCAGGATCGTCCAGCCGCGGCCGCAATACCCCGGCGACCACCACGCGCACCGTATTCAGCCCTAACAAAGCCCCGGCGACGCTGCCATTCGACCTGGCGTCGGTTGCGGCCGACTTCGAAACCACGCCCACCACGCTCGTCGATAACCTGCCAGAGCCTTCGGTTAGTATGTCGTTTGNACGCCGGGGGCTTACGCAGGTTGAAGGGCTGACTCCTTCTACGGACCCTTTCGGAGACTCTTTCATCGTGCCCGCACAGTCACAAGTGAGTGAAGTTTTAGAAATGGGACTTATTGTGATATTCGAGTGACTAGGTGTTCTTCAAATGGGACATAACTATGATATATGGGCGGTGAGTGTAGCGTGGCAGAACTGGTGGACTTGGAACTAGAGCTGTGCTCTTTGCGGCGGGGGCTCACGCAGGTTGAAAGGCTCACCCCTTCTACGGACCCTTTCGGAGACTCTTTCATCGTGCCCGCACAGTCACAAGTGAGTGATGTTCTTCAAATGGGACAAAAAAATATTATGTTAGCAAGCGGGGAAGGCGGCGTGGCAGAGCTGGTGGACTTAGAACAAGAGCTGTGCTCTTTGCGGAGGGGTCTCACGCAAGTTGAGAGGCTCACTCCCTCCACGGACCCTTTCGGAGACTCTTTCATCGTGCCCGCACAGTCACAAGTGAGTAATATTTTTATAATAAGGTATTTAATTTGCGTGGCTAGGGGGCGTGGCAGAGCTGGTGGACTTGGAACAAGAGCTGTGCTCTTTGCGGCCCGTTTTCACCATCTCTCCCTAATTTTAAAGTGACACATATGAAAACAAAATACCTGTTATGTGTTACCATAGGGGTCACTTAAAAATTAGGGATTGATGATGAAAACGGGCATAACTCCCTCCACGGACCCCTTCGGAGACTCCTTTATAGTGCCCGCCCAGTCACAAGTGAGTGATGTATTCCAAATGGGACATAATATTATGACATGCAAACGGTCATGCGTCGTGGCAGAGCTGGTGGACTTAGAACAAGGGCAGTGCTCTTTGCGGCGGGGGCTCACGCAGGTTGAAGGGCTGACTCCTTCCACGGACCCTTTCGGAGACTCTTTCATCGTACCCGCACAGTCACAAGTGAGTGAGGTTTTACAAATGGGACTTATTGTGATATTCCAGTGACTAGGGGGGCGTGGCAGAGCTGGTGGACTTGGAACAAGAGCTGTGCTCTTTGCGGCGGGGTCTTACGCAGGTTGAAGGGCTCACCCCTTCTACGGACCCTTTCGGAGACTCTTTCATCGTGCCCGCACAGTCACAAGTGAGTGAAGTTTTAGAAATGGGACTTATTATGATATTCGAGTGAGAGAGAGGTGTTCTTCAAATGGGACATAACTATAATATATGGGCGGTGAGTGTAGCGTGGCAGAGCTGGTGGACTCAGAACAAGAGCTGTGCTCTTTGCGGCGGGGGCTCACGCAGGTTGAAGGGCTGACTCCCTCTACGGACCCTTTCGGAGACTCTTTCATCGCGCCCGCTCAGTCACAAGTGAGTGAGGTTTTAGAAATGGGACTTANCGATGTCGCGCTCGGATGGTAGCAGACTGATTTTTAAATTTCAACGCGCACGGAGCAACATCGCTCGCGGATACCCACATTTGGTACAATAAAAATATTCAAACCATACCGATACAAAATAACGAAATAACGATATGCATATCGAAATACCAGTTATTTTAAAATTAACGTTATGAAGCCGAGCGTGCCACTTTTTAAACGTCATTAGTGTCATTTTAGCGAATTTTAGTGATTGCCGCAACGTAAAAGTAATCGTATCATCGTACTGCATTCGCAAAGTCATCGAAAGATATCGTGTGACTCGATTCGAAAATTAATTAATTCCGATAAAACTGATATTTTGTTAAATTTATAGCTAGTCTGACTGTGGATTAAAATAATTTTGTCGCGGTAAACGTAAAACGTTATTCTACATTATTAATTTTCTTATTAATTTGCAAATAATATTTTTGTTGTGCCTAATGTTTATGAAAGTAATGATCATTATTCCATTATGTTAAATAGTACTACTAGTAATTCATACTTATTTCCATACTTTTAAATATCCTAGTAAGTACCTGACCTAGTTTCATAAAATAAAGACTACTGTTACTATTCATATTAACTCAAGCTTTTTATTTTTAATAAATGTAAAAATGCGTAGTTTTTCCAATACTTTTTCTTACATAAAGCTAAGTCAGGTACCTAGTTTTGAAGAAATTTCTAAACGAGAAAATCCAGTGCCGTCGTATACATAGACGTATACTGCGATCACAGACCTAACTTCTTGATTTATTTGTTACTTGTGCTGTTAATTACAATTCTCAATCCGTAAATAATTTCTTCTTTCTACCGTGTTCGTACTACTGTCTACTGTCCTTGTAAAATCATCGTAACTGAATATTGTAATCGGATTACATGAACATCACTCGACCATGTATGTCCATTTGGACATATCGGAATGGCACGCTTTGACGAGCAACTTGCTGTATCTACTCTAATTCATATCTGTGGGGAGGGGAAACTAGTTAACCGGCACTCTTCAAATTGAAACAACACAACGAGTGGATGGAAGTTTGAAAAACTTTCAGTCAGTAAAACTGTCAAAAGTGACAATATGGCGGCTGCAATGGCGGCAGACTAACTACAGACTATAAATATATATCCGCGATGCTAGCGCCACAACTACTCTAATGGAACTAAAGCTGTCAGACCCCTGGAATGGATGGAAGTTTGAAAAACGTTCAGTCAGTCAAACTGTCAAAAGTGACAATATGGCGGCTGCAATGGCGGCAGACTAACCACAGACTATAAATATCTCAAAAGTCAAAGTCAAAGTCAAAATTTCTTTATTTGTTTAGACTAATAAATAGTTCTTACAAATCGTCATTTTGCTCTTAAGGAGCCTCTACATGTCTCATAATCTTTTTACCCTACCAGCACTTGAAGACCAACATTTGGCAAGTGCTGAGAAGAAGCGCCGCAACAAACTCAGTCACCACTCGGACTGCCGGACTGCCGGTTAATATAAATAAATATAAATAGTAGTAGTAGGTACATTCGATTCAGGAGCAGTTCACTGAATTTACCATGCATTCTTGTATGGTGTATCTTATAAGAATGGGTATACAAGATTGCGTGGTATATTAAACAAGGTAGTGACGTGCTAATATCTAGACTTACATATTAAGATACTAGTAGAAATGACTCGCATACATAAATTTGAATAACTTGGATTGACCAGTCCCCGAAAGAAATGGGACTTATTGTGATATTCAAGTGGCTAGAGGGGCGTGGCAGAGCTGGTGGACTTAGAACTAGAGCTGTGCTCTTTGCGGCGGGGGCTCACGCAGGTTGAAGGGCTGACTCCCTCCACTGACCCTTTCGGAGACTCTTTCATCGTGCCCGCACAGTCACAAGTGAGTGAAGTTTTAGAAATGGGACTTATTGTGATATTCAAGTGGCTAGAGGGGCGTGGCAGAGCTGGTGGACTTAGAACAAGAGCTGTGCTCTTTGCGGCGGGGGCTCACGCATGTTGAAGGGCTGACTCCCTCCACGGACCCTTTTGGAGACTCCTTTATCGTGCCCGCACAGTCACAAGTGAGTGAGGTTTTATAAATGGGACTTATAGTGGCTAGAAGGGCGTGGCAGAGCTGGTGGACTTAGAAAAAGAGCTGTGCTCTTTGCGGCGGGGGCTCACGCAGGTTGAAGGTCTCAACCCTTCTACGGACCCTTTCGGAGACTCTTTCATCGTGCCCGCACAGTCACAAGTGAGTAAGGTTTTAGAAATGGGACTTATTGTGATATTCAAGTGGCTAGGGGGTGTGGCAGAGCTGGTGGACTTGGAACCAGAGCTGTGCTCTTTGCGGCGGGGGCTCACGCAGGTTGAAGGGCTCACCCCTTCCACGGACCCCTTCGGAGACTCCTTCATCGTGCCCGCACAGTCACAAGTGAGTAATATTTTTATAATAAGGTATTTAATTTGCGTGGCTAGGGGGCGTGGCAGAGCTGGTGGACTTGGAACAAGAGCTGTGCTCTTTGCGGCGGGGGCTTACGCAGGTTGAAGGGCTGACTTCCTCCACGGATTCCTTCGGAGACTCTTTCATCGTGCCCGCACAGTCACAAGTGAGTGAAGTTTTAGAAATGGGACTTATTGTGATATTCGGGTGGCTAGGGGGCGTGGCAGAGCTGGTGGACTTGGAACAAGAGCTGTGCTCTTTGCGGCGGGGGCTCACGCAGGTTGAAGGGCTCACCCCTTCTACGGACCCTTTCGGAGACTCCTTAATCGTGCCCGCACAGTCACAAGTGAGTGAAGTTTTAGAAATGGGACTTATTGTGATATTCAAGTGACTAGGGGGGCGTGACAGAGCTGGTGGGCTTAGAACAAGAGCTGTGCTCTTTGCGCCGGGGGCTCACGCAGGTTGAAGGGCTGACTCCCTCCACGGACCCTTTCGGAGACTCTTTCATCGTGCCCGCACAGTCACAAGTGAGTGATGTTCTTCAAATGGGACAAAAAAATATTATGTTAGCGAGCGGCAATAAGACGTGGCAGAGCTGGTGGACTTAGAACAAGATTTGTGCTCCTTACGAAGAGAGCTCACGCAGGTTGAAGGGCTGACTCCCTCCACGGACCCTTTTGGAGACTCCTTTATCGTGTCCGCACAGTCACAAGTGAGTGAGGTTTTATAAATGGGACTTATAGTGGCTAGAGGGGCGTGGCAGAGCTGGTGGACTTAGAACAAGAGCTGTGCTCTTTGCGGCGGGGGCTCACGCAGGTTGAAGGGCTAACTCCCTCCACGGACCCTTTCGGAGACTCTTTCATCGTGGCCGCACAGTCGCAAGTGAGTGAAGTTTTAGAAATGGGACTTATTGTGATATTCAAGTGGCTAGAGGGGCGTGGCAGAGCTGGTGGACTTGGAACAAGAGCTGTGCTCTTTGCGGCGGGGGCTCACGCAGGTCGAGGGGCTCATATCGAGTCATAAAAGCAAACCCCGCTTACGCTTACGCAGTGTTCAGTCCAACAAGATACATTGTTTAACTATGAAATCAACTGTTTGCAGTAGGGTCTTTCCTCGCACCACTTTTCACATTGTCAAATCATAAGATCAACATCAACGCCGCCACTCGCTCGGAGTTCGGCCACAACGAGACACATTGACTGACACTGGGCGTCACATGTACAAAATTATGTTCTACCAAGTACCAACCCTAACCCATGTGACATGCAATAATGTAATGTAATAATGTTCGTTTGCCTCCTATCACATAAAAAAAAAATGATTTTGCCAAAGAGCTCAGTGTATAGTTATACCTATGCGCGTGCCACGACACCACACGAACGTACGCCGAATACACTCAGTGCATTACGAGCAGCCCGGTGTTTCACTCGTTCCCACGTATTTACCAGTGGCGAGTGGCAACGAGGATGGGATTCACTAGAGCTCAACCATCTTATTTCTTGTCCATTACAGAAGGGTCTCTCCTCCTTCAGAATCGTCCAGCCGGGGCCGCGTATTCAGTCCTAACAAAACCCCGGCGACGCCTTACCCATGTGACATGCAATAAATAATTTGAATTTGACAAAGAGCTCAACCGTCATCTGTTATTTCTTGTTCATTACAGAAGGGTCTCCTCCCCCCTCCCCCTTTTAGGATCGTCCAGCCGCGGCCGCAATACCCCGGCGACCACCACGCGCACCGTATTCAGCCCTAACAAAGCCCCGGCGACGCCTTACCCATGTGACATGCAATAAATAATTTGAATTTGACAAAGAGCTCAACCGTCATCTGTTATTTTTTCTCCATTGCAGAAGGGTCTCCTCCCCCCTCCCCCTTCGGGANATTTTGATTCATGTAGCTCATAGGTAGGTTAGTCTTTTTAGGGTGGATTCGACCAAACGATGAAATATTAATCTCAAATTAAATCGTCAGTTTTGACATGTTTCCCATACTATCAATGTGCTATACCAGGGATACGATTCTCATGCAATCGATTTTTTCCGTATATGAACTCCTGTTACGGTCCGTTGCGACGTTTTTAAAAACGCGCTGTAACTTCCGTATGATTAATTTTATCTTTACTTAGTGAAATTTTATTACAAAGCCCATTTATTTTTATAATTTGATAAAAATGTTGTAAAATTAATACACAGTATCACAAAACATAAAGTTTTAAAGGTTCAATTTTAAATATTCATTACATGNCCACGCCCACCACGCTCGTCGATAACCTGCCAGAGCCTTCGGTTAGTATGTCGTTTGTTTCGTGTAGCTCATAGGTAGGTTAGTCTTTTTAGGTTGGATTCCACCAAACGATTACATATTAATCTCAGAATAAATCGTCAGTTTTGACATATTTCCCATACTGTCAATGTGCCATACCAGGGATACGATTCTCATGCAATCGAATTTTTTCCGTATACGGTCCGTTGCGACGTTTTTAAAAACGCGCTGTAACTTCCGTATGATTAATTTTATCTTTACTTAGTGAAATTTTATTACAAAGCCCATTTATTTTTATAATTTGATAAAAATGTTGTAAAATTAATACACAGTATCACAAAACATAAAGTTTTAAAGGTTCAATTTTAAATATTCATTACATGTACTGAATGTATCGGAACACGTTAAAATGGTTAATGTCATTAATTAATGCCAATGTCATCGTTGAAAAAAAAAATTTTTGTTTTCTTCATACGAGTTTTATTGGAGTTTTTTTTATATTTTATAATCCATTTCATAACAAATTATCTTGCAAAATACAAAATTTCTTGGTTTTATTTCACAGTTCATAGGATTATGACAGCAAATTCGTATACGAATTTCAACATCGACTGGTACATACATAGCACTCGTAGCGTTCGAGTGGTTTTCGATCGGGAACTTTTGAGAATGCACAAACGGTGTAAATAGTCGAAAAAACCTAACGAAACCCTCTGAACGATCTTCGAATGTGAACTTTTTTCGATTGCATCACAATCGTACCCCAGGAGTTATTCTCGGATAAAAGTTTGGTCGAATCTTAGATGTTCTTATGTTTCCCGGCACGGATTTTGAGCGTTGAGAAAAATTGTAAGTAGGTATGTTAACGTTTTCTTTATTAGAAAAAAGATTCTTCAAATGTTTTGATCACTAGATTCTTCTATGAACCAAACTATTTTGGGTGTCTATTTTTGTACAGTGCACTGGTTGTAAACGATTTATCTTACGCGTTCCTAGCGCTCAAAATCTGTGATACTTGTGCATTTTTATGTATTGAAATATTTAGGTCATAAGTTAATCAATAGGAGAAGGAGTATTTTACACTATCTCATTATTTTAGATAATTATGAAATATAATATTATCGAGCGGTATCAGTGGGAAGAATAGTGAACTATAATTTTCAGTTACTTTTCATGAATTTCTCAGTGTATACTCACGCTTGTTCTAAGTGAGTATTGTAAAACGATATTATGTATTGATACAAATAGTTCAATATCACTTTTCTCACTTCTGCCTTGTGTTCATGATTATCATTCGGTTAAAATTCGTCTTTAAAAACCACCTTCCATCCATTTTTTGTTTCTTTCTACGCACGCCCTAACGGCACTTGTGTGTGTATTTTATTACTTTAGATGGATTTTTTTTTTTAATTTGATGTTTAGAAAATTTTAGAAATCTCTTTCATAGGATACACTTCTCTTTGTTCTGTTTTCCCCGCATTTAGTATAAACAAACTAACCCCTAATAAAAAGTTAAACCAAGGATGAACCTTGGATTAAAATGAGATTTCCATACTAAATGACAACTTAAACCAGAGTTCAACTAGGGTGTAACTTTTATTAGTAAGGGGTTAGAGTCTATGTTATTATGATTTGCTGAAACTACCCTGAAGCATGAAATCTGACACTCGTGCACCAAAGCTAAGTTTATTTTATTACTTTACCCACTAGTTCCCTTGGCCCGTATTTGTGACGTCTGGCATTCCTTTGTTACTTGTTGCAACTCTAGAGTGGGATATTTGACTATTACTTTAATCTTGGTGTTATTTTTGTAATACTTTTGTACCTAGCTGTGTGTTTAATGTTTGACTTATCATTACAATAACGCAACCACTTAAATTAAATTATCATTCATTATCATATCACTTACAATAAGTTCGGAGAAAATGTCTTTGAGCGACGTCCTCGTTTTGTTTATTCAACGAAATAGTCAAATATCCTACCGCGGTATCTCTACCATAAGACTAAATAAATAATTGCAGACATGACACGTTATCTGGCTTTCGTTGTATTTTCTATAGATCTTTATTTGATTTCACGTAATTGTGCTTGTTGGTCGATGTTACGCAATGACCCCTCTACGCATGTTCCCTACCTCTTTTGTTTCTAAATTGACGGTCAATTTTAATCCGAATCGGTACGGAAATATGTACATAATAATATTAAAGTATGATAGATAAATGTAATATTCGATTAAGTGTCATGATGTGTGTGGGCAAGTCGTTATTTAGTCTCGTGGTGTGCCTGTTACAGGTGAGCCAGCCGGCCGCGGCGGCGCTCGGCTACGACGTATTCACCGACCTAGACCCCCTCGGCACCGGCCGCAGTAAACCATACGTTGACAAAAAACTCTTCTTTCAGGAGCTCAAAAATCCGCCAAAGAAAGTGCTCAAAGACCTCGTTCCGACCGCTCAGAGTCAGACGCTCGTTACCGACACGGTGCCGGCCGCGGCCGAGCCCAGGCCCGATTACGCGACCACTATGACGTCGCTGTCGCGCCACTCGGGCGGCACGGTGTCGGTGGCGCGCGCGCCCGCGCTGTTCACAGGGCCCCTCTTCGCCGCCGACCCGTTCGCTGAGACCGACCCGTTCGACAACACCGACCCCTTCTCCGACTCGTTCAAGGACGACCCGTTCACGAGCGTGCAGGAGTTACCGAAGGCGCGCGACGAGCCCCGCCGGGCCAGGGACGGCCCGGGCGAGGGCTTCAACGGGCCGCTGCACGTGTCGCTGCCGCCCGAGCCCGCGCCCAAGTCGCCGCGCCTGCAGCGACAGGTATTGAAACGGGTGGTCGTCATTCATGCTCATGTTTTACTACCATTTCAGCCTATTCGAGACTCGTGCATTAAATCTTAACAAATACGTACACTTTCATAATCCAATTTTCATGTTCAATCCTTGATATAAAAATACACGATTGGTTATGGTGGCGACACTGAGTCGATGTTGATTCAGTGCTGCCGAGTAATACAAAAAAAAAATAGTTAAAGTATCTTCACATAATCGCTACGAGTTACGTGCGTGCGTTTAGACCATAGACAAGCTCGCGCACCCAACGACGGTTTGCCTGTATCTCATACAAAATTCACCCGCAAATTAACATTTTAAATACATCTGTACTCAAACGAGCGTAATCATCAGGTCAAGATCCATTAATTCCAACCGAAAGGTACGTCATTTCACGTTCATACTGCTTCATCGCTGCTTGATCTACCTGCGTCTAAGTTGAGATGCGAGTTTCAATAGCTCAGTTGAAATCGGACGACCCACCGACGTTTATATGCCTCACGCGATCGAAGCGTGGTGCATGGTCCAGTGTAGACCCAGCTTAACGAAGTTCTATTACGTGTGTCATATGACATACTTAGTCGAGCTCTACATCCTGTGTACATAATATACAACATCGCATTGCCGGTCGTTTTCTTTCGCATCTTCCCGCGTATAAGTTCTCAGTGTACAGAGTCGAGCTTAGACATCTTCCCGCGTACATAGCATTGCTGGCCGTATCCTTTGCATCTTCCCACATACAATATTATTTGAAGTTTACTATTCTCAGGGCACAGAATCAAGCTCGGTCCGTCAGCGGCCGCAGCCTAGCAGCAAGCTAGCCGAGGGCGGGTCGCCGCCGCCGCCGCTGCCGCCCAAGAAGGAGCCCGCCCTGGCGCGCCCGCCGCCGCGACCGCCGCACGACGACCCGCCCGACGCCGGCCCGCCGCTGCCGAGGCCTGCCAGGAAGAAGGAGCCTATGGTAAGCAAAGACTTGAGAACTGAGAGTATGATATTCCCACCGCTGCAATTCCTGTGTAACCAAGTTTAACCCGCGGGAAAATTAACTGTATCCGCCGCTGCCACGCCCTGCCAGAAAGAAGGGACCTATAACCTGTAAGTTACGGGACTTCCCACCGCTGCACAACCACGACCAGCGCCCGACGCCGGCCCGCCAGGAAGAAGAGCCTATGGTGAGCTGCTTTAATAGACTATTCAACTACCTAGGGCTACCATTCCTGTGCAATTAGCTTGGCCACGATCCTGACGCCGGCCCGCCGCTGCCGAGGCCCACCAGAAAGAAGGAGCCTATGGTAAGCTGCTGCAACGACGACGCGACTTATGTAGCTTGGCCGCCGCCAACACTGTTGACCAAGAAGGAGCCTTCATCATCATCATCATCGTCATCATCATTTCAGCCATAGGACGTCCACTGCTGAATATAGGCCTCCCCCAATGCTTTCCACGTTGATCGATTGGTAGCGGCCTGCGTCCAGCTCTTCCTTGCTATCTTTACGATGTTGTCGCTGCGTTTTCCGGTACGCGGCCTCCATTCCAGAACCTTGCTGCCCCATCGAAGAAGCCTACTGACACGGTGAGCATACTGATGAGTATATTCCCAATACTGTAGCTCCCTATGTAGCCAGCTTGGCCACCGCCGCCCAAGAAGTAGCCCGCCCTGGCGCGCCCGCCGCACGACCACGACGACCCGCCCGACGCCGGCCCGCCGCTGCCCAGGCCCGCCAGGAAGAAGGAGCCTATGGTGAGCCTTTTTAGGGGACTATTCCCCGCCCCCCATTAAGTGGGGGCGTGTTGGGTCCCGCCGTGTAGGGCGGGACGTCCGCGGAAGGCGCCTTGGTCGTTTCTAGTACCCAAGGCGCCGACCACTATGCGGCAGAGGGAACACCCCAGGTTTTTAGTCGGTTCGAGTCCCACATAACCTACCGTCCCCCGGCGGTAGGTATGGATAGGCCATTTTCCTGGGTAAAAAAAAAGGGGACTATTCCCCTTTGCATCTCTTGTGCAACAAATTTTGACCCAGGGGAAAGTCTAAACTGTCATCCGTCGCTGCTAAGACCCGCCAGGAAGGAAGAACCTATGGTAAGCTTATTCTAGGACTATTTCACCTCACGTTTCCATTGCTGCAATTCCTGTGTAGCTAAGTTTAAACCGGAGGAATATTAGACTGTCATCCACCGCTGCTACACCCCGCTAGGAAGAAGGAACCTATGGTAAGTTACACGACTTTTATGTAGCCAGCTTGGCCGCCGCCAACGCTGTCGACCAAGAAGGAGCCTATGGTGAGCTTATTGATGAGTATATTCCCAATACTGTAGCTCCCTATGTAGCCAACTTGGCCGCCGCCGCCCAAGAAGGAGCCCGCCCTGGCGCGCCCGCCGCACGACCACGACGACCCGCCCGACGCCGGCCCGCCGCTGCCCAGGCCCGCCAGGAAGAAGGAGCCTATGGTGAGCCTTTTTAGGGGACTATTCCCCGCCCCCCATTAAGTGGGGGCGTGTTGGGTCCCGCCGTGTAGGGCGGGACGTCCGCGGAAGGCGCCTTGGTCGTTTCTAGTACCCAAGGCGCCGACCACTATGCGGCAGAGGGAACACCCCAGGTTTTTAGTCGGTTCGAGTCCCACATAACCTACCGTCCCCCGGCGGTAGGTATGGATAGGCCATTTTCCTGGGTAAAAAAAAAGGGGACTATTCCCCTTTGCATCTCTTGTGTAACAAATTTTGACACAGGGGAAATCTAAACTGTCATCCGTCGCTGCTAAGACCCGCCAGGAAGAAAGAACCTATGGTAAGCTTATTCTAGGACTATTTCACCTCACGTTTCCATTGCTGCAATTCCTGTGTAGCTAAGTTTATGCCGGAGGAATATTAGACTGTCATCCACCGCTGCTACACCCCGCTAGGAAGAAGGAACCTTTGGTAAGTTACAAGACTTTTATGTAGCCAGCTTGGTCGACAACCAAGAAGGAGCCTATGGTGAGCTTATTGATGAGTATATTCCCAATACTGTAGCTCCCTATGTAGCCAACTTGGCCGCCGCCGCCCAAGAAGGAGCCCGCCCTGGCGCGCCCGCCGCACGACCACGAGGACCCTCCCGACGCCGGCCTGTAGGAGCCTATGGTAAGCAAAAATTTGAGAACAGAGAGTAAGAATAGTCTCGTAAAAAGTTACAAGACTGTTCCCACTTCTCTTTGCAACTCCTGTGTACCCAACTTTAGGAAAGCCCTGGAAGAAAGTTAAGACAGTCATTCGCCGCTGCTGCGACCTGCCAGGTACAAGAGACCTATGGTTGGATGAATGAGACTACCACTACTCATTCCCACCGCTGCAACTCCCGTGTGGCTAAGTTTGACCCAGGGAAATCTTAACTGTCATCCGCCAGTGCCGCGCACAGTGTATTTTTTGACCCGAAAAAGTGACATTCTGTTTTTATCACTAATATCCAAAGTTTAACTTATTATTATTGTAAGACTAAAACACCCAGGTGACAAATAGCTATAGATTATTTTTTTAAAAACTAGCTGACCCGGCGAACTTTGTTCCGCCTTAATGACAATAAATAAGCAGATTTTTTTTTAATTTCGAACGGGATAAAAAGTATCCTATGTCCTTCTCCTGGCTCTAAACTACCTCCCTGACAATTTTCAGCTAAATCGGTTCAGCCGTTCTTAAGTTATAAGTGGAGTAACTAACACGACTTTCTTTTATACAGGGTGGAAACGTTAAGTGATCTCACTCGATTATTTCTTAACTATACCAGATATTAAAAAACTGGTTACTGATCCTGAAAGTGCTTAATGAGCTCTTTCAAACGGTACCAATAATAAGTTACAGAATAAACTGGATCTATCTGAAAATTCAATGTGTCCAGCTTCCATACTAAATGTATGCCAGACACACAATATTAGAAGTGTAATTTTTTTAATTTAATAATAAATACTTAAAATAAACTCGTAAATTGTATTCTTATTTTAAATTATTAATGAAAAACATTGGTTTTAGGCTTTACTTGCTATAATATTGTTAAGAGATGAGTGTCATGACTGTAGTAACTAGTACTAAATGTATGGAAGAAGGAAACATTGAATTTTTGGTTAGATCCAGTTTATTCTGTAACCTATTATTGATACCATTGGATAGAGCTTGTGAAGCACTTTTAGAATCAGTAATCATTTTTACGATATCATATGTAGTTTTTAAAATAATGTGACTACCAAATGTATGGAAGCTGGAAACATTGAAGTTTCGGATAGATCCAGTTTATTCTGTAACCTATTATTAATACCGTTTGATAGAGCTCATGAAGCACTTTCAGGATCAATAACTAGTTTATTGATATCTTGTATAGTTTAGAAATAATCGAGTGAGATCACTTATCGTTTCCACCCTGTATATATAGATATTTTAGAAAATTTATTTTGTGCTGGGTCAAACTACAATTTTATTATTATTTAAAGAAAGGTACACACTAAGCTTCTCTTTGCATTGCAGGTAGGTAGGTTGGTGTATGGCGAATATTATTGCACCTATAATTATTTAAAAGTAGTTATAGGAACGATAGTGTGATTATTTTTTAAATNAAAGACGACCCGTTCACGAGCGTGCAGGAGTTCCCGAAGGCGCGCGACGAGCCCCGCCGGGCCAGGGACGGCCCGGGCGAGGGCTTCAACGGGCCGCTGCACGTGTCGCTGCCGCCCGAACCCGCGCCCAAGTCGCCGCGTCTGCAGCGACAGGTATTGAAACGGGTGGTCGTCATTCATGCTCATCTTTTACTATCATTTCAGCCTATTCGAGACTCGTGCATTAGTCCTCCGTGTTCATGTTCAATACTTGATATTAAAAGTAAAGTAACAAACACAGAAACACTGAATCGCTCAGTGTTGCTGAGTAATAAAAAAGAATCATAAGTTAAATAATCTCCACATAATCGCTCCAAGGTTCGTGCATGTTTCGTTAAACCACAGGCAAAGCCCCGTCCACAACGGTTAAAATTACCCGCAAATTAGCATTGTGAAATATCTTTCTAGTACATTAACTCAGACGGACGTTATCATCACGTCAAGATTCATTTTTTCCATCCAAAGGTACGTCACTTCACGTTCATACTGCTTCATAGCATTGCTTATCGTTTACTTTACATCATCTCGCGTAGAAGTTCGGTTGTGCGTTGCAATAGCTGATTCCAAGCCGGACGATCCACCGATGTCTAAATACCTCACGCGATTGAAGCGTGCTGAAACATCTAGTGTGGCCCCAGCTTATCGCATTTTTGAACATTCGTCCGTGTTTCTTCCCGCGTACAAGACTGATTGAAATTCGTAGCGTGTCTCACACGGTGTTCAAAGTCAGCGAAGAGCGCGAAGCGGCAAGCAATGGCTTCCCTTACGCGCGCCCTATTCATATGACGTACCTATTATTGAGACACGTCGTGTTCGAGTTCCTCGTGGACTTTAGGCAGGGTACTCACCTGCCATGTAGCACGTAACGTAGCATGTAACGTAACCAACCTTCAAGTGAGTACGGCTCATCCACGTTCATCGCGTATCTGGCTGCGAGCTCCTGAACCCCACTGCGAGCCTCCTTTGTGCTCGCGGTGATACCGCCACTTGGCGGGTCGCTGCTATCTCTCTGGGAGCCACTCGCGAGCAGCTCGCAGCGGGCTCGTGCCTATGTACCTACTCACTTGATACAGTATCTGATACATTACATGCTACACGGCTAGATGAGTACCCTGCTTTAGACAGCGCTTCAGGGCACCGAGTTGAGCTAGCATAAAACATCGCATTGCTGATCTTCCCCTTTGCATCTTCCCTCATACAATATTATTTGAAGTTTACTATTCTCAGGGCACAGAATCCAGCTCGGTCCGGCAGCGGCCGCAGCCTAGCAGCAAGTTGGCCGAGGGCGGGTCGCCGCCGCCGCCGCTGCCGCCCAAGAAGGAGCCCGCCCTGGCGCGCCCGCCGCCGCGCCCGCCGCACGACGACCCGCCCGACGCCGGCCCGCCGCTGCCGAGGCCCGCCAGGAAGAAGGAGCCTATGGTAAGCTATGAGACTTTTTCCACCGCTGCAAGTTTGACCTGGAGGAAAGGAGCCGGCGCTGGAACCGTTCATCGCTACAACTCTTTTGTAGTCAGCTTAACCACGTCCATGACGAGCCGCTCGACGCCTGCGCGTCGCTGCCGAGACCCGCAAGGAGGAAGGAACCTATGGCAATCCTTTTTACGAGACGATTTAAATACCTTTCATTCTCACTGCTGCCACTCCTGTGTAGCCAACTTGGACCCGGGGGAAAATTAAACTGTCATTTGCAAACACTAGTTCAAATGGTGTTGGTATGCTGTTTTACTAAAGTCGTATATTTTTTTGTAATTAGGACTTCAGTCTACCAATTAATGGACATACTTATTAGAGCTGAAAACTCAGTTCTTCCATAGATTTTGAATGACAGAGAATTAATTGGCAATCATAGCAGTCATAGCTTGATGACGTTACTTTTTGCCAACAACAGCGTCACACTTAAAGACATCGTTAGTTTAACAGTTCACGTCCAATCTAAAAATATCCCAGCTCACTCACACCATAGTTTAAGTTCATTAAAGTTCAATTTACTCTTCAGGCGGACCGCAGCACCAAGCCTCGCCTATCATCGGCGGCGACCAACAGCAGCGAAGACGAGTATCTGACGCCGGCGCCGCCGCCGCTGCCCACCGCGCGTCGCTTCGATATCACGCTGAGCCAGCTGCTTACTTGCACTGTGGATGAGCTGGCGCACCGGTGAGTACAAAGCAACAGGATTAAGTAAATGAAAATAAGCCTTATCTCCATTAGGGATAGATCACCTTTGAGCTCAACTAGTCTCGAGTAGCGCACAATCAATGTCTCTACTTGAACACTGACTAAACGGCAGCGCTCAACTCGAACCACAACCTAAGAACCGGATATAGCCATGGCTTTCATCATTGCGAGCCCGACTCTTACAAGATGCATTTGAACACGAACTAAAGCCGCCAACCGTTCACACTCATTATAAAGATGAATCACCGCGCAGTGTCCTCACTTGGCTCACCTTGCGGCATGCATAAACCCACACCAAGGTCACCACTTAAAGGTCTCAAGCCGAGGCTGCCTCCAATAAAGATAAACGTACAGGATGTCCTTCAGATACCAAGTCAAATACAACGTCCGATTAGCACACCGAAGAACATAACTACTATTTTCTCTATTTACAGGTTAAGAGTTCCTGCCACAACACTATCTTCCATGACTCTACCTCAGCTTACAGAATACCTCAGGTCATATCTAGCAGCAGACAATGAAAGAGCGGTATGTTGTTTTATTCTTCTTATTTCAAATGTTACTTACAATTTAGTCATATCACTTCATACGTTTCGTAATAGCCATCCCCTTATTCGCAGCATATTCACGTCGAGCCTTCCATGAAAACGGAGAAAGAAAAACCATTGTCAGCTATGCCAACGACTATTTTGCCGGATAAGCCTTTAGTTACCGCCCCCTCAATTAGCACTGACTTCAAACCGCAATTCGAAGACAACTTCGCGCCTACGAGCGAGACAAGTGATACATTCGTAGCGAACTTCGACGATTTCGACAAAAAAGCGAACCCCTCCTACGACAGATACGCAGCGTTCAGAGAAATACAAGAGCAGGAACTCAAAGCCAAATCTATATTAGATCCTCTTGACAGCGTAGAAATGGAAACTAAGCAAGATTCCGATGAAAAAGAGGAGCTGACCGCGATAAATGACATTATGCGAGCAAACGAGGAGCGGAAAATCGATGCGAAAGAAACTTCGCGGAGTCCTTTGAAAACGCTCGACGAGTTGACGTTGGACTCCTTCAATATGTTTAGAACCTCTGTCAGTCCGAAACCGTCACAGATCGACGCCAAAATAGAGGACATCAAATCTGTGATGAAGACTTTGCAAATAGAGAAACAGAGGCGGAGCGTATCGCCTAGGGATAACGGTAACGTGGATGTGAAGCAAGAGGATACCAACGATAGATACGCAGCTCTGAGGGAGATCACGATAACGGAGCCGGCGGATGAATTCGAGTCTCTGCCTCCCGAACTGCCAAAAGAGCGGAAAAAGTCGGACGAGAAGTCGGATGGTTTCGACAATTCAGACTTCTTCGACTGCATAGACAATAGCTCGCTCTCTTTCTCGCACGTGGAAGACGCGTTTAGGAAGAGTCCAGTGGTGAAAGACAGGGAGGTAGAGAAAAAACCGGAGATTCCGAAAGAGGTTTCAGTGGAGTTAGCGCCGGTGAGAGATCTACAGCCACCAGCCAGACTGTCCACGGGTTCCATCAGCGACGTGCCTAGCGGGTCATCTCCTGATACTAAAGGTACATTGATTTGATTAGATTATATGACAGTCTTAAGTAGATAAGTATAGTTTCCGTCCTGACCTCATATCCTGGGCACAAGAGCGGTGGTGTCCTACAACTATTGTCGCCTGCACAATTGATTGTCTGTTCATTTTTAATCGACTTCATGTTTCATAGTAGGTACGTAAGGCTGGGTTGCACCATTTTACTTAAACAAACGTCAAAACTCTGTCAACTACATACAAAAACACCGGTCATGGTTAAAATATGATGGTGCAACTTAGCCTCAAAATATTAATTATGATAAATTCGACAAACTGCTTGGAAAAGACATGAAGCGAAATGATTCTCCGATCGATCTGAAGTTTTTATAGCCCAATATTATTTTTGTAATTTTACTGTGAAATCCGTAAATACTTTTTGATCTTTCCAAATTCTTGCTAAGAATGTTCCATTCCGATTGCGCAGAGAAATGCGTAGGCGTTTGCGGCGTAAGCGTAGGAGGCGGCGTGGGCGTGGGCCCGGGCGTAGTAGGTGCCGGCCGCTGGGCCGTGCTGGCGGGAGCGTCGCCGTGCTCCTCGGATTCACGCGATTCAGAACCACGCGCGCGTCGACGTCGCGGGACACCGCCGAAAAACCACAACGGTGAGTACTAACATGCCTGTGTACCTACCATGAGGTGTTATCGATAGCGAGTACGTCAAAAATCTCTATGAAGATTTTGTTTCTTAAAAGTAGCCGCTAGGGGCGCTGCACAATATGTCATACAATTAATGTCATTTTTTTACGCAGTCGCTAACGAGCACACCTAACGTAAACTTATGGTAAGCACACTGTTCATCTCCGCGAGTCTGTAAACAAAACACGCGCGACGTACCTCCTGGGATAGATAATCGACAGGACACTCACGAGCGAGCTTTGACGCACGTATTCCTTACCTGACTCTTGAGACAAGCTAAATTATGAAGTCTAAACATCTTCGCAATACAGGCATACAAAAACAATACTTCTTACTACAACCCTCTAGTCAGGATGTGTCGCGCATATAATGAGTTGGCTCGTGCAGGCAAGGACATAGATGTATTTAATAGTAAATTTCCTCAGTATAAAAAGGCTATATCCGACTTGCTCAAAAATGACGAAACGACAGCGTCTCCCGGTGGGAACGGTGCGTAATGTCTTCTGGGTAATCTTTTGCTTCCGTCGTAATCACCGCAATTAGTATAAAATATCTAATAAAATTTCATAATATTGTGTTGTAGTAACTGTTAGAGTTAAGTTAGAACTGTATTTATTTTTAGATAGTACTTGTAATTTAATTTAATTTAATTTATCATGCTGTGTATACTAATTTTGGCTTACGGTCCAGTATGTAATTAACACTTTTTCTTTACGATGAAGCCCAGACTGTAAACTGTTTGTATACCTATTACAAATAAATAAATTACACCATATTGTTGATGACATTGAGCATACATTTTTTAAGTACCTCATAAAGGCAGCAGAAAAGCGCTAGATGCAGGCCGCTATAAACCGTCCAATCTGGAAATAATAATAATAATAATAATAATAATTGCTGGAGAGTCACTCNCTCCGTCTCATCGTAATTTAGATTTAATAACCAGTCACGTATTTTGTCTTTACATTCTTTCGATGTAAGGGGGTAAATATTATTTATTTTATTAGCAAAATTATAGAGAAATGAGCCCATCACATAGAAACTGCGCCCAGCTAAAAGTGTCCGGTGGGGCACGGGAGAGCATACTTTACTCTTGTTGCGCTTATATAAAGGTGCGTACACGAGGCTCTTATGTTTCCGCAGAATGGTATTAACAATAAACAGTTGTCTCACAGTCAGAACTACACATTCTTGGTAAATGAGAGATGTACTATACCTAAGTGGTTTTCCTAACATGACTTTGAGAATTGAGCGCTGAGCGCGCTCCAGGGGAAGTAATGTACTGGTGGAGGAGCCACCCCACGCAACAATGCAGTATTGGAGTAAAGATTGCACAAGAGCATAGTATACACAAACCAATGTATCACGATCAGCAGAGTTCCTCAGTTTACGGAAAATGGGCATTAGTTTTCTGATACGAGATGTTAAATTTTGGATATGCAGTGACCAATTAAGATGGTTATCAACAACTAATCCCAAATATCTAATGCTATTCGCAGAGATCAACTCAGGACAGCCACATGCATTATTAATTTTATCAAAACATTTATCTACATGCGCTCTTATACAAAAATTAGAAGGAGGTAGGGTATTGATGCGCTGGGAAAAAGAAATATACTTAGTTTTTTCTAAATTCAATGTCAGTAAATTACTATCCAACCATTGACTAATTACTCCAAAGGCGTTTTCCGCATGGATTTTAACCTGTTCCCAGTCCTTCCCGTGTATAATTAATGCTGTATCGTCTGCGTAGGTAATGATGTTGCAGTTAGTTAAGGTGAGGGTGCATAAACTGTTGATGTAGATGAGGAAGAGTGTGGGGCCCAACACACTTCCCTGTGGCACTCCGTAAGTCAACTTCAAGTCAGAACTTCGGTATTCGCCTATTTTTACACATTGGGAGCGATTTGATAGGTAATCACGAAAAATGTCAAGGGCAAGACCTCGAACTCCAATCAATTCCAATTTATTTAGTAACAGTGGCACAGAGACAGTGTCGAATGCTTTTGATAGGTCAAGAAATATGCCTACAGCTTTATATTTGTCATCAAGATGTTTAACTATAGTTTCAGTGAGCTTGAGAGTTGCGTCTTCTGTGGATTTTCCTTTAAGAAATCCATACTGGTTGGCAGCAATAGCATTTGTTTTTTCTAAAAACTTCACCAGTCTAATGTTAAGTAGCTTTTCCAGTATTTTAGAAACTACAGTTAGTACAGAAATGGGTCTGTAGTTGCCGACACTGTCTCTGTTGCCATTTTTATGAATGGGATGAACAAGGGCCCTTTTTAGGATATCTGGAAAAACTCCATTGGACAAACACAGGTTAAACAGATAAGTCAATGGTGGAATTAGACTTTTCTTTGCATTTTTTAGGACAAGAGTGGGAATGTTATCAACACCAGTTGCACAGTCATTTTTTAAATTCATAATAATACTCTCAACTTCAGAGAAGTCAATGTCTAATAGAGCCATTGAATCTCTAGGTGAGTGTTGTAATGGAAAGGAATGGACTGTTGAAGGAAATACATTACCTCGTCGTTGCAATACAGCATTCGCATACGACTCGCCTATACCGGCAAAGAAGTTATTAACCAGATTTACTGATTCATGCGGACCCTGGGCAATTTGAAGTAGTTCAGAAGGTTGTAATCTTGTTGTTTTTAGGTTTGTTATTTTATTAATGGTGTTCCACATTCCTTTAGGGTTAGTTTTATTTTTCTTTATTTCATGTTGTTCGTATTCAGTTTTAAGTTTTTTTAATAGATTGTTACAGAAGTTCCGGTATCTAGAGTAAGTTAATTGTAATATAGCGTTATTCGGATCTGTTTTAGCTTTTTTGTGTAGTTTGTCACGGTTTCTAATACACCGCACGAGTCCCGGCGTGAGCCAAGGCTTAATGGTGCGATTACGATGTGGAACACAAATCAGTTTAGAATGAGCAGTGATTACCCGTGAAACTATTTTAACAAACATCTCGACTGCCAAATTAGCGTTGTTAGCTTGAAAGACTGCGCCAAAGTCAGTGACGTTTAGGTCCTTCGTTAAGTTAGGATAATTTATTTTAAATAAACTAGTTTTAGGCATGTCACGTTTTATTTTATGATCTAGAATAAAAACAAGTGGAGCATGATCAGTTATTAGTGAGTTTAATATAAAAGTTCGCGAGCATTTGTCTGATCTTAACACCACGTGATCAAGGCAATTTTCTAAACGGGTTGGTAGTATATGCGCTGGTAATAATCCATGACATGCCAAAAGATTTAAGTATTTGTCACAGTTAGGGTCATAACCACCCGGGGATATATTAATGTTTATATCACCGACTAAAACCACAGATTTTACAGACGCCAGGGATGATAAACAGAGATCTAGGCTATCGCAGAAGTTGTCAGTGTTTTTGTATGATGGTGATCGATACAAGGCCAAGACAGCGAGTTCATTATTATAAGTTAGTAGTAGACTATTTGCGTCTTTTATTCCGGTTTCTATTAAAGTATTATGTTGAATATCCGATTTAACATAAATGACAACACCATCATTCTGGTTTTGGTAATCAGAGGTATAGTGCGGTATCCTTCCGTTTGGCCAAATTACTTTTCGCCAAATTTCACTTCGCAAACAACTTATCGCCAAAGTTTCAATTCCCAAATAAACTTTTAGCAACTGTACTTTTCGCAACTAATTCATTTGGTCAAATTATCATTTGGCCAAATTTTACTTGGCAAATGTTTATATAGCAAATGTTTTATTTTGCCAAATATTATATCCCAAATAATTTGTTTGTCAAATTGACACTTCACATACTTACCCACAAATCAAAGCATAAGCCACATGATCGTGGTTTTCACAAGAATTTTATGTAAAACAAAGAGATTGCAGAAAATAGTATGGTTGCAGAAAGTAGGTATTGCAGAAAATAGTAGGTTAGGTTAGAACAGTGACCCTTAACGCGCGAAGGCGAGCGAACGGAGCGAGCGAAGCGAGCGAAGTGAGCGTGCCGCGGCAGCGGCCGCCGAGCGCTAGAATCACCTCTATTGTTAATGAATCATTTGGAAATTTCGATAAAAATATGAAAAATAATTTATAACAAATTTTATATTAACTACCCACTAAACAAAATAATAACCACATGCTAATTTGTATTCCATTATATGCACCAATCAAATTGTTTTGTAAATAGTTTATCATGAAATATTTTTGCCTAATGAAACATTTGGCAAAACATACTTTGCCAAACAATAATTTGCTAAACAATAATATGCCAAAAACGACATTTGCGAATTAAAAGTTTGCCATAAGTTGTTTTGCCAAATGAGAATTTGCCAAATGAAAATTTGCGAAACGTTGTTTGCGATGTGATAATTTGGGAAACGTTTTTTGGCCAAACATTAGTAATCCGGTATAGTGCATATACCCAGGCAGTTCCGGAACAGTTGAAGATTTACTCAACCAACACTCGGTGAGTACTAGGATATCACATTGAAAAGCAATTCTATCAAGTAGAACGAGGAACATGTCAAAGTTGCAGTTTAAGCTACGAATATTCGTATGTATTATCTTGATAGACCTTTGAAAGGTTGTGCTAAGATTAGACAACTCCTCAGGTTCACATATAACCGATGAAGACACTTCCATACGATCAATGTCATTAGAAATATTAACTAGAGGATCCACAAGAACAAATAACAGTACAACGTGCAAAACCGATGCGTGCTGGATCCTCTCATCAGCAGTAGAGACAATACCTTTATAATTTCAAAAGTGCAAAATATGCATGTAAGTAGTATGTAAGTAGCATTAATAGCGCGAGTAGTGCGAGTATGTGGTGTGTAATTGTCGCTTTTGTGTTGATCATACAGTGACGAAATAGCCTACTAAATACTGATTCATTATAACCAAACCGCAATCAAAAATATGCTGTCAGTAAAAAGTTATGACCGAATGAAAAGTCTGTTTTTTACCTTTTCATCCGAAAAATGTTCTTGATATCATTCTATCCATTGCACATTTTGGACTAATCTACGCATGTTATATCATGTCGCATGTGGCGCAGGGGTTATAGATGAATTTTATTAAATACTAGCTGACCCGGCGAACTTCGTACCGCCTTAGCGTAGAGATTTTCTTAATATTTTTTTCCGTAAGAACCATCCTTGGACTTCCACAAACATTTAAAAAAAAGAATTATCGAAATCGGTTCAGCCGTTCACACGTGATGCCGTGACAACGCGAAACGGGTTTCATTTTTATATATATAGAAGATTATACTAACTGTGCCTACGACTTTGTACGTGTGAAAATTGTTTGAATAATATTTCCCATTTTTACAACATTTGTCTTTACTGCTCCGCCCCTATTGGTTGTAGGGTGATGTTATTTATCTTAAAACCATCCTTGATAAATAGGCTATCCATAACAAAAAGGATTTTTCAAATCGGACCAGTAGTTCCTGAGATTAGCGCGTAAACTACTACAATTTTTAAACAGTCATAACTTTTTACTGACAGCTTATTTTTTTTTCGTCCCATACTGAAAGTTAATCTCTATTTAAAGGACTATAAGCCAATATAGGTCTCATTGGTGGTGGACATTTGGACCACTTTTGGTCATTGTCCTTTATTTTGATTGGTTTTCCAATCTAAGGCCGCTTTCAAATTAGGGCGTGAGAAGCGGGACAGAAGCGCGGCAGCACGATGACAAACCGAAGCTCAACCGAAGCGCGGCAGCGGCATTTTTATAATGTGAAAGCAGGCATCCGTGTCATATAGTATGAAATGAAATTATCGGCAGCGCGTCTGTTGCGCGTTTATCGCGCTGCTAAAGTCGCCTAAATGTGAAAGTGCTCTAACAATAGCGGGAGAATGAAGACAGAGGAACGCGCTGATCTTTGTTAACAACAAAAAAAAGTAAAGTAGTCCCTTTTTACGAAAAGTTTGGTCACCACTGGTCAAGTGGTCCATCAGATACCGAGGCACGTGACAGATCGATCTATGTTATCGTCACCTTCTTCTTCCCGTTGACGTCGACCTCATAGTCCTCCTCGTTCATCCACTCGTTGTACTGCGGCAGGTCGAGGACCCAGGACGCCGACACGCGCCACGGCTCCGAGCGGTTGCAGTCCCAATTCGCTGTTTCTGGGATGTCCACCTGTGGGCACATTGACTTGTTCATTATGTGTCTATTTTGGAACATTTTATCAGTACTTAGCAGCCATTAGCGCTCATCAACCTACAATCAAATTAAACTTCTACCACTCAAGTGACTCAACATCAGGTCTCCACTGAAGGAGTCCGGAGCACAACCACCTTAATTTACAGAAAAAAGGGAGTGTTTGGACTACACCCCCGCGCTGTAAAAACACGTTGGAGAGGCTTATATGTATATTCGCACATCAGTCGGCTTTTTCGACATCCACATAACGATTCAAAGTCTAAAGTTTTTTATTCAGTACTTGGTACGTGATCCTATAACAAGCTAAAGTCCAATAGTAACAAAAATTGTGAAGGTCTCAATATTTTTAGACGCTTATCCGACTTTGAACCTTATGTCAATTGATTGAGTGGTGTCAACCTACCATGTAACTGTCTACCGGGTATTATTTTGAACCTTGACTAATGGTCTTAATTACCATGTCTTATTTTTATAACATACCGGCAAGTCGGCCTGCAGCCAGGTTTGCTGTGTATTATTTTGAACCTTATGTCAATTGACTGGTGGTACAAATTACCGGCAAGTCGGCCTGCGCCCAGGTGTCGTGGCTGTCGGGCAAGTAGTACCAGTGCACGAGCGAGTGGTTGCCGCGCCGGAACACCGGCCGCGCGTACTCCTCTTCTAACGGGTCTACCGTCGGGTAGATTATGTGGGTGACGTCACGTTACCATGTGTTACCACAGAATAATAATAAGTACTACGTACAGAAGTTTTACTTCGCGAAGGTATTTAAAAAAATGTATGCTCAATGTCATTAACAATATGGTGTAATTTAGCTTGTCTCAAGAGTCAAGCACCATTTTGTTGACAAACGTCAGTGATCGGTACTGCGCCGAAGCTATAGGGCTGACTTCGGTAAAATGATGTGACGTGAGGTTCCAAACTGCAGAAAATGGCGGATGAAACACATGATTTAGCATGAATTATCATGAATAATATTAACTACTTATTTACCTCTCAGTGTCTTCAGGCAACTTAAAAAAGTACATTCTGTGTTTTTATTATTATTGAGGCAGCTAAATACTGCACAGTATTTAGTACACCATTTTCTTTATTTTTTTCCATCATACACAAGAATACGCGTGCGTGAGTCAATGTTCGCTAGTATGTGAGGCCTTGTCGAATAGTAATCCTGTAGGGGGCAATCGTGCGTGTTTTGTTTACGATGTAAACTCGCGGAGATGAACAGGCCTGGTGTTATCACGTACCGGCAAGTCGGCCTGCGCCCAGGTGTCGTGGCTGTCGGGCAGGTAGTACCAGTGCACGAGCGAGTGGTTGCCGCGCCGGAACACCGGCCGGGCGTACTCCTCCTCTAATGGATCTACCGTCGGGTAGATTATGTGAGTGGCGTCCTCTTCGTCTTCTGTTTGGATAAGGTAAAAACATTATTAATGTTTCGTTATAATTAAGTGACCGTTAAAGATGTGATAATCAATATTTACGAGTAAAATATCGTTAGGACATCGTGTAAAGTCCGATCGACGAGCACATAGAATGTCGTCCAATAACCCCAAGCTACCATACCATATTGATATATTGTTGTCGCGCTCGCACACTGACTGCGGCCGCCCTCGCACAGTCGCGACAGCAATATAATTACGCGCGAGCGATAGGGATGGGTGGCTAAATTCTATCTGCTCGGCGACCGGACTTTAGTTTATGTACAAACTTTTTGTATAAAGATTACAGTGGTTGCACCAAGTGTTTAGAGGGAGACCAATGTCATGTAGTTAGATATATTGATAGGTATTGTCTATCTGTCGCTCTTTCAATGACGTGGTTATTAGACTTCGACGACGAGACCAAAAAATCGATTCAAGCTCAAGCATGAACTGTGGTTTTAGTAAGCAGTTCAATGTCATAGCATTATACATATTAAACAATATCAACTGAATAGTTACTTACCGCAGATGTCACCCTGATGATGGCTGACGATGTCCTTCACTTTATTCGCAGTAGCCTTATCCACATCGGGGCGGATATACACACACGGTGTGCGGATCACCTCAGCCGCCACGAGCGAGGATTCAATCTCCATCATCATCTGAACGTTTAGGTCTTTGCGCGACGGGTTCTGGAAAGGGGTAGTGGGGAGGGGACGAGAGAAGGTGTCAGTGTTAGTATGGATACATCATTCGCGACTGCTTTTTTTAGAAATGTATAAAGTTATGAACCATTAAGGTCAGTTTGCACTTCTTTTTTTTTAAATGACAAAACTGGCCAGTGTTTTTTAAATTTTGAATATGTTTTAGTTTTAAGTGCCAAAGGAGGTTGACTTAAAAAGTTTTTAAAAAGTTTTAGAAAATATCAAGATCAAATAAAAAATGTGGAAAATAGCAAAAAAGGATCAAAATTGGATTTAATTACAGGATTTAGCTGTTGACAATGCAACTTCTCTTTGTACAGTGTAAGCATGCATAGTCCTAGCATTACAGAGATTTGCATGCTAACATAGATGTTTAAATTGAACCCTTAGGATTAGTTACTAAAACAACACAGTGTTATTTTGACACACAATGCACAAGGTGTTATTGACACAGAACACAAAATTATTTAAATTTTTTGGCATTTTTTACAAAATCATGTTTAGGCATGATACAGCATGAAATGGTCTATGTAATGTTGGAACTTCCCAAAGCCAAGAAGGAACCCAATTTCCATTAATGATCTGTAAAATTGTGTGTCAAACTATTTAAATGACATTGCATCAAATCAAAACTTACTTGTGGAAAAACACTACAAAATATTGAAAGATATTTCTGCAAAATATAAGAATTGAAATATTTACGGTGCTAAGTTGTGATATTTACAAAAATTGCACAAAAGTGATAGGTAACAATCCTAACCAACAAAAAACTTAAAATATCTTTGGTTAATATAGAATTTAGATCATACCCTGAAGAATTCGTGCTTTTGGATAAGCAACAATATGTGTGACACTTAAGATACAAAACCTTGCCAAGGTTTTTGTGTGTTATTTGTTTGTGTAGATACATCTACCCCAACTTTGTTTACTTGTTACGTATGTAAATATTTCAAAAAGGTTCTAGGTTGAGATTAAGTCAAGAGACTAGCTTTTTTAAAATGCTAATTGCTTAAGTGTACTTTCTTTTGTTTTAGTGAAGGGACATAGCTTCCTAACAGAAAACGTTCAGATCGCGCACGTCTCTACTGTGATTATTCTGTTACTGTAATGGTAGTACTTTTACAGTGCCAGTCTATAGCACGCTATGAACGCGTTCTATCAGGGTGCGTGTAAGCTAAGATGTAGGCGATGTTACACAGAGTAGAGCAGTCAAACGTAATGTAATGTACCGAATTTCGTATGTCATACAGTGTAGTTTTCATCAAGCCTAGGGAGAAATAGTATAAATTTTAACTGAGTCAAGCTGATTTGGACCTCATTTGTTGGAGTCATAGTCTATATTTGCTTCAAGCTGCTCTCCTTTGCGTTCCATCGCCTGCATCTCGGCATACTCAGCCTTAGTGTCACACACAGTTGCGCGATGCAAGTTATCTGTGCAGGGCGGCAGGACTGCGAGACGGGGTCGGTGAGCGAGGCAGCGTGCGGGACAGTGCATACCTTACCGACCTGGAAGTCAAACTTGCGCCACCGCTGCTCCGACTTGAAACGGAACATGGTAGCGAGCACGGTGCAGAGGGAACCGCCCGGTTTCATGTCCATGAATACTTTCATCTGGAATTATTGTTTTTTGTAAACCTTTAATGTGCAGTGAGCACTAATTAATTAGTGTGAGAAACAATGACTCATATTGTTGTCTGGAGTCTTGGCTTACAATCAGTTAATGACAATTAAATATTAGCAATTTCATACAAATTAATAGGAATACATCATCCACAAATTAGTATGTAGTCAATATCTCAATTGTAATAGTGTATATTGCAACCAATACATTGGGCAAACTCAACAATCAAAAAAATAATTAAATGCAACTGTTATTCATACTTAGAGTTCTGACTGTGATAAATGTGTATAAGCTGAGTTTCAAGCCATGATTTGGACTAGACAAATTCATAAATAAATTAAATACTTACAGGAAGCCTCAAGAAGGGTGGGTCCGCTGCATTCTTCCCCAATTTATTCTCCTGGTACTGGATGAGCTGGACGACCAGCTGGGCCAAGCCCTCCTTAGTGGGGGGGTCAGTCTGGACATGCTGCAATAAGTTTCAGGGTGTACAATATCAATATCTCATTACTACAGATAGTACTTCTGGGAAAGGTTATTAATAATAAAGTTATTGGTAGATATTATAGCCAAATATACCTTACTATTGTAATGATTGCCTTAAGGGCTTCTCTGCTACAAGTTTCAAACAAAGAATATGAGCATCCTATAGAATTGACCATTGAAATAAAATTTCCATATTTATGGTCTAGCATCCTAGCATTCAGTATGATAAGGTCTTTGATTCATTTTAGTGAGAGACTCAATCAACACATAGGTGAAAAACTTTGAAATGCACTCTTTTTAACAACAAAATTGGATTTAACCGAGACAGATACTACTAAGTATATGCCTCCATATAATAATTTTGATCATCAGTTCAATACAAGTGTGTGGTTCTTCATGTATTAGGACTGGAAAGTTATGAGTTACGGCAGTCTTGTAGCCATTACAAACATAATTTACCAAAAGATAGGAAAACATACTAACCTTTTTGCAATTTTTCTGCAACCAAACACGAATTTGATCGAATTGACCTAATGATTCTGGCGATTGAAAATATTCCACATTAGGTCCGCCGTCTTTTTTGGGACCTATCGTAGTCATTTTGATTCAGTTTGTTTCCTTTCTATTAGTAAGACAAATTGATTAGAATGTAAAATTAAATTCAATAAAATCTGAAAAACAAGCCAGTGCGGCGTCGTTCTTTCACAATTTGACGTTTAAATTAAGGGATGCGCCATGCACCGACTATTCAATTGCACCATTTGAATCGATTCAATACTAATTGAATAAATATTCGAGTATGTTTAGAAATTACTTTCAAATGGTCATAATTAGCTAAATTCACCATACAAAAATAAGTAATTTAAACAACATATTATTATTATACTAAATAATAATAAAAATGATTTATTTCAGTAGATCTTTTACAATAAACTTGCTGGGGCCGTTACGTTTTTAATACTTGAATTATCCAAATCGATTACTAGTCTAGAAATTAATCAAATTCAGAACCCATTAATAGATAGTGGACATCCCTATTATGTAATGTAGCCAGCTCAAATAAATCATTTAATGTTGCCACTTCACTATGAGAGTGAATAATAACTATAATAACGAAAACGATAACGGTAAAATAACTAATGCTTTTTCTGCAGCTTTGCCTTTAAATAAAGCTTATTTTATTTAATTGCAATAAATTCCTACTTTTGGGATTCAATTACTTTCTTAAATAAAAATGCTAATTTATTTTATTGATTTATTTTCATTACATGAACAAACAAAAAACATATTAAAAGTATAACATTATGAATAGATAGTTTAATTTGGAAAAAACAACAAAGCCATTATTGAGAAAGCTAATATTGATCAGCGTTAGGAAAATAGAACTGGTTCTCGGCTAGGCCCTTGGAGCCAGTTCCTTCTATGGCGAAAAGAGATCCCGCTTCCGGCTGCTGTGCGAGCTCGGTCGCTGTCAGGCCCCGCTTGCTGGTGGTGACGTAGAGAGTGGACAGGTCGTGTCCTCCCCACATGACGTCAGTTACCTTGGACACATTTAGAGTGTGCTGTTCCAGAAGTTTTCCAGCCCTGGAGTCAATTTTGATAACCTGTAAGAAATGAAAACGTTAATACTATTAACACCATAGGTACTGTCATTTACAGGTCCGTTCCATTTACCCAGTTGAAATAACTTTCAGTATGGAACAGCGAGGTAGTTTTTCCAACTTTTTTATATTTTGAGGATGTGTGCAGGTGCCTACTTTAATACTAGGTATACTATTTATACCATTAACCCCTCGTGGTAAGCTAAATATGCTTGTGTTACGAGTGGGTTCACCACAATAGTCGAGCGGGGATCGAACCCGCGTTCCTCTGATCACGAATCGCCAGTCCGCTCCGTTTATCATCGCTTCAAAGGGGGAATATGCCTTACCTTTCCTCCATTGTAGCATGCGACCCAAAGGTTTCCGTCGCTATCGATGGTCATGCCATCAGGAAACCCGGTTACATTGTTAGCTTGGAAGCTGAACAAAGTTCTTCTGTTACCTGAAACATGCATTTCAAGACTAAACAAACAGATCTCACACCAATGCAATGTTATTAAAATCGTTCTTATTTTTCCTCTAGCTAGGCAAGCGCAATTCTCCGATAGTTACGAAAGTCAGTAGGTCTGGCTTTTGATAACATCTCCGTGATCCAGTGGTTGTCTCGACTTACAGGGGTAGGCAGTAGGTTCGAATCCCATTTTTCCAAGTGGTTTAAAGGCCTACATTATAAATTACTCACGGATAATCCCATCTTCAAGCGCAAAGTCGAACACATCGATGTTCCTCGTAGGGGTGTCGATGTAGAACATGAACTTGCTGTCGGACGTCCAGGCGATCCCGTTGGACACCGACACCGGGCGCAGCTTAATCTCCGGGTTGGCGTAGTTGTAGGCATCCACCAAGTATAGGGAGGCTCTGTCTTGGTCGACCACCTCTGATACTTCTTTGCCTATGGTTCCTGTAGGGAAGATAGGGAGTTTTTTATTACCATCAAATCGAAACTAAATAAACCTCTCTATCTATTTCCAACATCATTAATGCGTAGTGCTTATTTTGATTGATTTATAGCAATATTTAATAGTTTTTAATAGTTTTTATTACTTCTACATCTATTTCAATTTATTACTTTATTATTAAATTACGTTTTAATTAAAAGTTATGGAAAAATGAAGGAGTTGACTTTTTATGCTACAATGGCCACAATAATTATATTAGGTATTTCAATGCATGGTTTGTTTATTTTTGCAAATATCAATTCCAATTTTACTTCCCTTTTAGCATTTATTTAGGTTTGCCAGTTTAGTTTTGGACAGAGGTCCAGCAGTGGACGCGTCTTTTGGCTGTAATTCCTAAACCATTAAGTTGACAACAACTTACCGATCCACAACCTGCCTTTAGCGTCAACCTTGCCATCGTTGCATCTGTTATCCGGGAGACCGATGTCTAGCGCGCTGAGTTGCCTGAGGGCGCTGTCTCCGACGGCAGTAGAGTTCCAGTCGAGGAGGTAGAGTTCAGACCGGACGGTCACGAGGACCAGCTTGGGGTAGTCTTTCACGGTCACCACTAAGGAGATGGGCCCGTAACCTGAGAAGTTATTAAATGGGATAAAGAACACCCTGTAGGTAGGTACAGTAGGCGATGGCACATTAGAATCCCTTATGAGCTACATTTAAGAAAAACGTCCTACAGTGTTATGTTTGCCATAAATACTACCTAAGTACGTATTTACTTTACCTAATAGGTTTTATGGGTTTACGGATATTTAATTAACAGCTAGTAGATATGTTAAAGGCTGTAATTAATGCACTATCCTAATCAAGGCGTAAAATTTATGCTATCAACGCTTTTCAGGATAATTATGAACAAACAAACTACATATAACAAAACACTATTCATACGCTCTACGTATTAATATGTAGGTACTTTTAAACACATAGCTAATATGTATTATTATAACATCACGTACCTATACATAATCGTGCACGTATTTCAGGCCTGAAAGCCAGATTTACAAAACGCTACAAGTACCATTTATGTATTTGTTTCAGAGCAATGTTTTCATGAATGGTGTATCAATTGTTGTGTTATACACGAACGTTCAAGCTTTGATTCGTACATGCATTGCCCACGGCCCTATGCTTTTGTTTACGGATACGGACAGTGGCGTAACTATACGTTTATGTTACGCCACTGGATAAGTACACACAGATAGTAGTATAATAGTTTTTCAAAGAATAATAGTTAGTCCCGTTAACCCCTCGTAAGCTAAATAATGTTTGTTACGAGTGGGTCGACCTATCCACCATAATAAGTAGTCCAGCAGCACGCTCACCGGGGCTGCGCGGGGATCGAACCCGCGATCCTCGGTTCCGATCTTCCGACCCGATACCATTGCATTGAGCCATTGTCGCTGCTACTATTTTTACTATTATCTATTATAGACTAAGTAAGTATTGTAGGACTGATCAGTAGGACCAAGGGCAACGCAAGTGTTATACTTACCAAATTCCTTAATAGTAATGTTCCCAGTCTCGTCGTCCAATCTGTGCACTTTCTGCCCCGTAATATCCACCCAGTACAATGCATTTTCTGTGGAAGACCAGTGCGGCCCTTCCAAGTGATCTCCGCCGGAGAAAACCTGTAAAAAACTTTGAGTGTCACTATCAATAAAGTACGATAGTAATCTAATGTAGGCTGTAAGTAACTAGGTAGGTACAGTTTAAGATCACAGTATCATGAAGTTAGACACCATAAAGAAAGTATAATCTCGGAATATCTATAAAGCAATCAGTGATTTTCTATTTGATAAATGATTTTTATGTAGGTATACCTACTCGTACCTACTTTACTGGAGGGTGCGTCTATAGTGGAAAATGATAAACAAGGGAAAATACCAGTTTTTAATTTAATTAACAGTGCATAAGTCTGCCTCAAGTAGGTATGTCTAATTTCAATGTGTTAATTAAGTAGATAATAGATAGACACAAGTTCCACAACTAGGGTGATAGGATAGCGTCTACGTCATAGGTTCGAACAATTAACATAACAAATTAACTCTAAAATAGGTAGGTAGGTAGTGTAGGTACCTATACAATTAAACGAAATACTTAAGGCTAGAACTTACAATTTGTATCTAAATAAGTACCTAAGTAATTAATGGGATAGGTACACTTGCTACCTACCTACTTTCTAGTTGTTTTTATATTTCTATCATACTTAAGATTTTATGGTTTGGCTGGTAAACAATAGGCACTTGAATACCATTAATAAGTTATTGTTTCAGTGTTTTCATAATAAAAAAATAATTAATTAATATACAACTTGTTTCTGATATAGTTTTTTTCCCAAGACTCATGGATATCTAGAGTTGCCAAAATCAGTTTGATACTTTGACTGGAAGGGAATGCCTTATACAGCATTAAGTTCGTGTTTTGTACTCCAATTTGTGTGGAGTACAATAATTTTAATTAGATAATTAAGTACTTACCTACTCATAAAATCCTTATAAAAAATAAAATGGTTTAGCGGAAAAAACGCGAACTAATTTAGTAGGTATGTGCTGCTTTGTTTATTATTTTCGAATGATTACATGAAAATCACTCAGGAAAATTACTGAAATTCGAACTCTAAACCTGTACCTTAACCCTTAACCAGGCTCTGGTATCCACAGAGACCACATCAATTTGAATCTTATGCTGTGAAGATATGATTGAAAACCAATTACTTTTTTTAGGCCTGGTTAAGGGATAAACACCCTGTAGATTTTGATTTGATGATTAACTTCAAAGCTTGCATGCACCCTAAATACAAACAAGTTTACTCTTATTATTAGCCTACAAAAACAAAACGGCTTTATTAAAAAACTGGTTACAAAGTTTAAGTGGATAAGCAAAGATTTGAAGATGAGAAATGAATGAATTGGTCAAATAAAATTTGATTATTTGCTAATGATTGACTAATTTATTAATGCTATACTAATTATTCCCACTATCATTATCAATTTGTGTTGTTTTCTTTAAAAGCTTCGATTCAGTTGCGCAACATAAAACTTCGCAAAAAATACAAAAATAGAGTTGTTCCACTAAGTTTAATGTCAAAAAAGCTCAAGTCTGAGTATGAATTTCTATGGTAATAAGGTAGATAAGTACTTACTTTTTTGATAAGAGGCGATGATGACCTGGAGACCACAGTGCCGATCACAAACACTGCTAAAATCAATGCATATCGTAGCACCGCCATTGTTGATCTTCCAAGTTAAGCGTACCTACGTCCGCTCTCGTGTGAAATTAACCGGTCAATGTTGCGCGCGCGCAACGCAAGTGACTGTACGAATCTGAAGACAACGTTCACTGATTTCGTCACAGCTGTTGCGATTTTGTTTCTAATAGGCCTAAAGTTCGGTTTTTATGGAGAATTGGTCAGCGATATTGCTCTATGTGAAATTATTGCAGTGCCGTAGAAAGTTCAAACTATCGCAATACTTACTCTTCAGTATTCGATAGCCTTATGGTGCGCTGGAAAAAGTGTTGAGAGATTTATCACGGAGATAATGAATTTGATTTGCATTGCAATTAAAAGTTATGTTAATTTTAAGGTAGGTAACTATTACTTCGGTAGGTAGAGCTAGAGCAATTAATATTTCCTCTCTCATTAGCTAGTCGATATTGAAAGGAACACTTTCATGGTTCGATGCGGCCAGACCACGGAAATGTGATCACTGCAAGGTCTTGATTATCTTAAAGAAAATACCAAACGTTCTTGTTCTGTCTTCTTTTTTCGCTATTCGAATAGAAATTAGAAGTAATTTACCCCTATACAGGGTGGAAACGATAAGTGATCTCACTCGATTATTTCTAAACTATACAAGATATCGAAAAACTGGTTACTGATCCTGAAAGTGNTCATGTTTGAGAGCAGGAAATGCAAAAGTGAGGTGCATGCAATATATGCGAGTGGGACATTAGTTACAACAATGCAATGCACGGATAATAGTAGTGGTATGGTATAGTTCGTAAATATAAGATTTTGATACTTGACTGATTGAATATAACTATGTGTACAGTAGATAAATTCAATGTAAAAATTAAGATAAATAGAGATATTACTCCACAAATCACTCGGGTAGTTGTTAATCCACCGGTGCAGTCATTTCACCAGAGAATGAAGTAGTTTTTCAAGGTCAGCCTCGGAGTCGATGCGGCGGCACGGGGCGCCCTCCTCCTTGCGCAGGAACACCTTGCCGTGAGCAGTCCAGCAGAAAGCATAGGAGTGATTCTTGCTGAATTCACGAGCTAAGAAATATATCTTCCTGGTGGTCTGGGTTAGGCTTTCTGCAACGAAAACTGGCCTTTGCTCACCTTCTATTTTAAGATCTCCAGTATTTAATTTCTTTTCCCTTCTTGTATTGTTGAGAGCCTTCACAGAGGTTAGTACCTTGTCTTTAAGGACAACCGTAGTGAAGTCTACAATAATTGGCTGGTTGGTGTCCTTTTTGGTTTTCAGGCGAAAGACATCACGGATCTGGGACTCATCAACACGAACATTAATTGAGTCACCTAGCCTTTGAACCAAATTTACTAGATCTTGCTTATTTTCCTTTTTTTGGGATGGTATATTCCTAATTTCGATACTCGCCTGTCTCTGTGTTCTTTCCAGATTCTCAACTTTTAGCTCAAGGCTCTGGATATAAGCTAGGTGGGCTTTCCTTTCAGACTCCATCGTGGAAAGTTTATTTTTCATGTCTTCATACTGCTTTGATATAAAGTCCATTGAGGTCATTATGTCCATGTTTTGTTTTTGGATATCTTTCACAGTTTGCTGAATTGTGCTTTGTTGCCTAGTTAGGGTTTCAATAGATTTTTTTATCTCTGCCATAAAGGTTGACATTTCGTCATCATGATGACGTTTGCGGAGTCGAGGCCTGTTACTCGCATTTGCACTTTCGTTCTCCGTGTCGGTAGCTGGCGCAGAACTTTGGTTTGTGTCCGACTCTGTGACCTGCTGGGGTGCGGCCGGCGGAGTTCTTTTTAGCGGCATAATGCGTTAGTGTGAAAAGATCTCGTAGTCACACGTAGTATAAGATCGAAGAAGCAAACTCACAGTCGTAGCACAGTAGTAGGCGCCGTAGTCAGTGGGCGGGGCCAGCGGGAGTTAACGTCGTAGCACAGTGTAATACGCGTAGCACAGCTCTTAACAAGTTATGCACTCCTGGTACTTCGCAGAATATTTTTTGATGATTTATTTAATATTTTGAATTAAAATTTAACAAAAAGCACGTCTACACTCAATGATATCCAAGGGGGGAGAGGAGAGGTAGCAGGGAAGCGCTGGATGCAGGCCGCTACCAATCGATCAACGTGGAAAGCATTAGGGGAGGCCTATGTTCAGCAGTGGACGTCCTATGGCTGAAATGATGGGGGACACCTTTGTCCAGCAGTGGACGTCATTCGGCTGAATTAATGACTAACATTATTACGTTACGTAACGTCTATGCATACATTTACAGAGTTTATTAATACTCTTTCCAGAAGTCACTGGCACTTTGCTAATTAATGCGGTACTGCGTAGTTCTTAACCTTTCAAGCCAATCTATCAGCCTTCGGCGCCATCTGGCGGATGATCAATGGGAGAATTCTGTTTACCTGTTGCCTTGCATTTATTTGGGAAAAACCGTTCTTGCCTGTGGTTCTACTGATACTACCAAACTTACTATCAGGGTAACACTTTTTTCCCCCCTTACCTACCTACTACTAGTAGGTACCTTAACTCTTGTTTTGTCACCTGTCATCGGCTTTGCACTGGAGGGAATTCTAACTTTAAACTTCTCTTAAGTTCTTTTGGATTCATTTCGTTGCGGGTCCAATGAAAGTTTAACTTTTCCTCGGGACAAACTTGACCTTCGTAGTTGGATTTTTATTGGCCTGTCTCTTACTTACAATTTACTTAGCTAATTCAAAGGAATAATAAATGATAATCCACAAATACAAAGGGAATATCTGTTATATAAATAATTAGTTTAATTACTTAATTTAATCAAGAAGTTCCTGATCTCATCACGCCTTTCTCTTGCTGGTTTTTGTACTTAATTCGGCCAACTTTTCATAATGGCCATTAATTATAATTATAATTAAAATAATTCTAATGACAAGACACGTACGACGCTTTGAAACAGCTAATGATGATTTCCTCACATTATAAGTCTTACCTACTTGTTTTTGGTACTTTGCTGACAATTTATGTATTATGCTGTACCTACTTGTACCATTATCGTGTTTGGTTATTCTTCCTTCTTTATACTATATATAATTAGGTACTACTTATTATCAACTTTATTCTTCTTCTTTATTGTATTTTTTTTCAGAAAGATAATCGTAGTAAATTATGATAAACTATGTTGTATTTGTATCGTCACTAGCATAGATTTAAACTATTAGCGCCCTCTGGCCTAAAGTATGTAACACTGTGTACATCTCTATTATATAAAAGAAAGTCGTGTTAGTTACTCCACTTATAACTCAAGAACGGCTGAACCGATTTAGCTGAAAATTGTCGGGGAGGTAGTTTAGAGCCAGGAGAAGGACATAGGATACTTTTTATCCCGTTATTTATTGCCATTAAGGCGGAACAAAGTTCGCCGGGTCAGCTAGTATATATATAAAAGAAAGTCGTGTTAGTTACTTCGCTTATAACTTAAGAACGGCTGAACCGATTTAGCTGAAAATTGTCAGGGAGGTAGTTTAGAGCCAGGAGAAGGACATAGGATACTTTTTATCCCGTTCGAAATTAAAAAAAAAGTCTGCTTATTTATTGCCATTAAGGCGGAACAAAGTTCGCCGGGTCAGCTAGTTTGAAATAAAACAGTTCTTGTCTGTGACTCAAGCGTTTAATTACTAGAGGTTATGTGCTCAGTGATAATATTTAGTTTTTCTCGCAANGGGAGGAGAGGACTGAGAGTTACAACCCACTTGGGGTAGAAGTACGAAAAAAATGTTTAAAGGAAGTGACAATTGCTCGTACAAACTTAATTGTAAAAAGTACGTTTACCGACTACAATCTTTTTCCCCAAAAATGCGAATTTTTCATTTGCAGACTAAAGTAGTACCTACGCATATTAAGGGAACTAAATTAATTAGATTCTTCTATTTATTCCATAAGATAACACATAAAAAATCCGTTTCAAAAAACTAATTTTATAACGTGTCATCATATCCATCCTACGTGAAATAGACAGTCGCTTTATACTGCTCTAAAAGAATTGGCATGAAAAGCTCGTTTGATATTGTTATTAAATCTGTGACTGCAAAGGGTAAAGAGCATATTTGACTCAGCAGTTTTCAGAAGGCATTGCATCGCAGAGCAATTCTTTCGTGCTTTATTTCAGTGGATTTATATTTTTGCAGTTAAGCCTTTCTCGTAAAGTACTTATAACGGATGAGAATGAAAGAATAAATAAATGGATGGTAACCCTCCGGTTATAAATTCGATTCTAGTCAGTACCATGAATAAAATTTTATAGTTAAGTTTTTTTTTCAGTTGATGTTCTTTCCGTCAAAAAAATAGTTGTAGAGTTTTAAATAATATTTTTACTCGTGTCTTTTTTGAGCACGTTAATTACTAATTACATACCCACAACGTATACTTCCACCATTTATGATGCCACTAATTTCATCCTATTTTAGTTAGAGAAACACAGAATAATGTAACTAAAATATGAGCTCACATATTCAGTTCAAAGAGAGAGATACTTTTTCCGATTACGTGTAACCCGCTCTGGATGTGTTGTTATTATTTTAAATAAACCAAGTTTTTATTTACAGCGCAAGTTCCCCAGTTAACGTCAGCGAAGATGTATCGGCGCGTGAGACCGCGGGTGAGTCCTACAACTTGGCTTTAATACCGCTATATCATCATCACGCCTCATTCTCGGATGCAGACGATATATGTAGCTGTCTCGGTGAAAATTATGTTCTTCTTTACGGACTTTTTGAAATACGACTACCCGTAAGTCAGGGTTGTTTCACGGAATAGTGACGTAACCATAACAGATTCGACTCAGGAATTCAAGGGATTTTTTGTTGTATCTCGAAAACAGACTCGGCTTTATCTTAAGCTAATAAATTTTTATCACAAAGAAATGACCCGCTCACAACAAAGGCTCGAACAAAACTAGCTCCAGTACAGCGTCCGTTTCTTTAAACATTTTCCCAAAAGGTGACGCTAAGGCAAATAATGAAAAACGTGCCATCTTTGTGTTCATTTCTCATTTGTTCTGGCGAGACAGCGAGCGGAGACAAAGTGGGTTGGAATTGCGGGATCTAATGCCACGGGCGGGTCTGTCCATTGTGCTGATGCGGCACAAACAAGATGTTTTATGAAGCACATTACGGCTATGGGCCGAATTAGGCCGGTAATTTGTCGTGTTGCGGCGGCACATTCGGCTGTCGACGACGCCTGTTTGTGCCACCCCGATTTCATTACCGCAAAAGTTGTATTGTGGTTATTTAAACGTAATGAAAATAGGACAGTGTAATAGCACATGTTTTATTAACGTCGAAACACAAAATAGGATATTTTATTGGTATTGCTATTCATAACGATCAAAAGGTTGGCCTTAATAATGATTAAGTATTAGTGAGATCTCTAAAATGGTCCACATTTTCTTTTGATGTTATTGTGTCGAACGTAATATTGAAGCACGTTCTTTTGATACGAAATAATAAATTACTAGACAGGTTTAATAGGTGTAACGAGTTGTTTTCGAAGCTCATTACAACAACGGGTCGAATTAGGCCACCGATTTGTGTTTGCGGCGGCACATTCGGGTGTCGGCGTTGTTGAGCCGCTGCCACTCTCGGCACTACCGCTCGGGTTCCATTACCATTACGCTCCCCGCAAAAGTCGATTTGCGGTCATTTGTAACGCTAATTCAATGTTATTTAACATTAGGTACTTGTGGAAAATACAGGCGAAAAGAAAATGTGATTTTATCAGCCATGATATTCTATGCTTTATTACAGTATAGAATCAGAAAGTAATCGAAATCGGAATCGTGTTAGTTACAGCTTTTACATAGCCGATGCGCTGAGTTGCACTGTGGAATACTCGTATTTTTATCTGAAAATTAAACAATAATACCGTTAAAGTAGAGCAGCATAAGTAATAAATTTGATTTAATCATACAATGCGTGGGACATAACAAAACATCGCAAACGTAATATCTTGCACTGCACCCGCGGGACAAGCGAGCGGCAGCACGTTATAAAACAATTACGTAACACAAAACATACAAAATTTTCTCGCTCCGCACTTTGAAAGAAAAACACAAATGTGCAAGCATTCCAGTTTTGTCTGTTTATGAGTTTCCCTAGTTCTCAAAGGGAGAGATATTGCGCTCGGTCTCGTATTTGAGGAACAAGACTGTAATTCCCGGAGGTTTTGTCTTGCGGCAACACATCGCACAAATGGAAAGATGCCGACATTCAAAGCGGGTTGGTGCATTTTTAAATTCCCCCACAGTGGCCGGTCCGTTCGCGGAAAAAACTCATGTGGGTTTGCCAACTAATTGACTTTTTAAATGCGTCCCTTTTTATTCGTGTGGGAGTTTATTTACATTGGGCGCTGCAGTACCTACTCAGCAGCCAAGTATTCCGATCACGCGGTTCTAGTTTCGCTTGCAGTAGATTCTGTTGCGATTAGTTTTAATTTCGCGGGACAGTAAAACTATTTCGCACTACGCTGCGCCAGAGCGCCACTGAGATTTATTGTTTAACTTTTTTCTTTAGCGGGACTTAAGTATTCCGAAATCGCTTAGTGTGTTTTTAAAAACACTATTTTCACATTACGTTAGAAAGGGTTTTGTTGCTTTGTTTTGCTAGTTTCGTTTCATTTGCACACTAATGTAATGTGAGACCAAAGTAAAACAATGATTTAATCTAATACTCAAAATGTAATGTGGTTCGCTCCCCTAAATTAGGTTTTCGTGGAAAACAATTATAGTGATTACTGTAACTTGATATAATTACTCTGCTATATCTATCCCGGTTATAATTTTAAATAAACAGAAAGCCGACTCTGCAAGTTTTAATGTACACGTAACAATTTTTATGTTACTTATTTAAAAGGTACATTATTCCAGATGAATTAAATAACTCCTGTAATTTACATTATGAAAAATCACGCAGACAAAGCCACGAGTAGGGACTAGTTAGACAATAAATAACAAAACAAACCGCTCGGGCATATAACTCAACGCATCTAATATTTTATTCAGCCCGCCGGATTTACCTCATTCGTAATTAACAGATGTATTTTTATGAGCATTATAATTGCGGTCTAAAAAGGTTCCTTTTAAATAGTCCCGATTGTATATTCAAGAACAACGGCTGCGCCGCTCGCAAAGCTTTGTGGATGAGACATTGCGATTCATTCGCGCATTTAAAAGCAAGACAGTAATTTCACAGGCCTTTGTCTAGGCCGGAGCGACGGCTTACAGGAAAATATGCGCATTCAGAATGGATTTTTATCGTTTTTCAAGTGGTGGGCATTAGTTGCGACTTGCGTGGGATCCATTCGTTTGCTTATGTTATGTTGATTCAGCTTTTGCGTTGGGCGCTGGATTTTTGGGTATGGAAAGTAGGGTGTGGTAAAAAATATTGGTAAAAAAATGATATTCCTTTTTAATTTATCAACAATTAATGTAGTCAGGAAAACTTGTAAATAAAAGATAAGGAGGGCTAATGTGAACCAATTTATAATGTAGGTGTTTGAGCTCATTATGAGTACCTCAGACTTAGTAGGTAGTTCGAATAGCGTAGTCAAGCCCAAAAGAATGCTAAACAAAGTTATCATCGTGAAAATATGTTCATGAGTAGATTCTTTATACATCTATTTCAGTTTCGATAAATGTTAAAAACCAATTTATCGATTACATCTGTTACAAATAAGGTTTATAGCAACTATACGGGTTGTTTGAACGCCAGCTGACCTGCTGCGTGTGCAGATTGCTGAAACTAATTGGCCCTCGCGCTGCCGTTGTTTTATTTCACGTTACGGACCAAATAGTTTATGCACCGTGTGACCTTATTCGCATGAGGCGCATGACTAGGTCACTGTACTCTTGGAAAGTTCGCAGTATTGATTTTATTGCGCGCGCCCGAAAATATAAATGGATGCTGGTTCCATCCCGCGTAGAAGTGCCCGCTGATTTATGTTGGCACGCCTGAATAAGTATCGACTACCGGTACACCGGACCCACACATTCGATTACTTAGCAAATGAATCCTTTTCAAACACTCGGACAAAGCTAACGGGCGTGGCGGTGATCCCTAATCGAATTAGACTAATTCGATGATTGTTTATCGATGATGTTTGATCATTTAATTGAATTGGCCGTTTGATTGGAACTACTTTATCTGGTTCGCAGGTTTCATCAGGCTAAAGGAGGAGCGGCGAGGGTTCATCTGCGAAACTTTATTGAAGTGCGAGCCGATACACTCGGGACAAAAGTGAGTATGTCATCCACTTACATTACATCTACTATGTAACATAGATACAATCGATTTGATGGAAAAACATAGTGCAATGTTGTTCGATGTTTTGATAAAATATGAAAATGCAAGTACCGAGGTGGGTATAAAATTTATTTTCTCTGATTATTCCAGTAAAGAAACTTACTTACAAGTACGGTAAGATATGGACGAATCCCAGTATATAAAGCTATAGAATTTGCTATCAGATTGTAGATAAAAACGTTGTCTTTGTAATTAGCCCTAAAATCCACAATTTCAAAGGTGTTTCGTAAATCCGCGCCCGACAGCAAAATGGAAAAAATATCGCAAAAAAGGCTTTTTAAACGAGATAAAGTTTATCCAACTCAACAATTTGTCGTAAAGGGAATCTCAGACAGTCATAACATCGAATTTACCGACATTGTGTTTGCGGGCGGAGGATATTGGACTTTAGGGGCAAGGTGTAGGTTCCAAAATGGGTTAGTGAAGCCGTCGCGACATCCTCGTTATGTAATTACTTTAGACGGCGGGGCGACGACCTCGACTTTGACCCACTTCTGACTCTAATTTTCGCGTCTCACCCGTTAGACAACTTTATCTATCTAAATAGCTTTCTGTTGTTGCTTTTGAAAAACAAACAGTGCTGTTGTTGTTTTAATGTAAGGATTTCAGAGTTTACTGAAATCTTTACTACAAATCTGTACAGTAAAGTGCCTATACTTACTTAAGCCTGAACACTTTCTTGTATACAGGGTGTAACAGGGGGGGTGGATCATCGTAAGTCAAACGATGGGGGACTTCAATACCTATCGATATAACCCCCATGTATGTTCCGCGATTTTCAATGGTTCCAAAGTTATTGAGATTTTTGTGAAATTTAAGTAAAAAGCCGGAATTCAGTATAAAAGTCTTCACTGTAGCTTAACTACTGGACCTGCTTGCACGATTTTTTTTCTAGAAGTAGTTCAATAGTGGGTCTTAATAATCTAGAGATGCACCGAATGTAGATTAAACCGAACCGAATATTCGGCCGAATCATTAGGTTCAAATTTGATTAAAACTTAAATTACCAACTAATGTTGACTCTTAAAGTTTCTATAAATTTGTTTTTTAATTTCATTTGTTAACGGATGATATAATTTGTTTATTGTTGATTTTAAAGAATTTTATTTGACTTACATTGAATTAAAACTACAAATAGGTAGTTATAACAATTCCTAGTTCACCATTCACTAGCATACCTACATTCCTAGATAGATATTTATTTAAAAAAACTTATTTGATTTTATAAACATATTTGAATACTTGTGTTGGTTCCTTAAGATAGTAGTTATTACATTACAACTATTCTAAAAAAAGTTTTCTGAAAATAGTTGTTTGTTACTCAAAGCAGTTTTGGCAGTGTCCTTAAATTTTTCAATTTCATAAAAAATAAATTTATCTTTTTATTTCACAATAAATAATTGGTACAAGTAGTGTCTGGTTCATTTTCAAAAACTATAAAATACTTTCGCTATAAACCACACTTATTTAGTAATTAGTTAACCAAACTGTTTAATTAAATATTTGATGGTTGTATTCGTTTATTAATCTAAAGTTCTAACTTATAACAATCATCAGCACAGAAGAAGAGGTGTGGGACACGGAAGATATTTTAATTATTCGCGAAAACGACGCGTAGTCGGCGCGTGATAGCCTGCGACTGGCCGACCGCGGGGCGCGGGCGGCGTGGAGAGCCGAGCGAGTACGAAGTGCCGCGGAATACCACGAGTGTCCTAGAGCTCGCGCGGTCGTAGCGCGATTATTCGACTTCGGTCGCCTTATAAATATTATTTTTTTAATTGTTAACAATACTTTTAATATTCGGTAATTATTCTGCAATTCAACCGAACATTCGGCCGAATACGAACATGAAAAAAATATGCCGAATGTACCGAATACGAATATTCAACCGAACATTCGGTGCATCTCTAATAATAACGATACCGATTTGTAAAAAAAGGATAAAAAAATAATTATGTAAAATTTCCTTTGTTTGAAAAATTCAAGTACTTTTTTTCCCTAGAGGCCTTGGAAGTTGTTAGAAATAATTCAATTTGTATAACTTTTATGAAGAATTATTTTTTTACTTCAATATGATAGGGTTATGACTCGAATCGGTATCGTGAATATTAAGACCCACTATTGAACTACTTCTAGAAAAAAAAAACACGCACGCAGGTCCAGTAGTTAAGCTACAGTGAAGACTTTTATACTAAATTCCGGCTTTTTACTTAAATTTCACAAAAATCTCAATAACTTTGGAACCATTGAAAATCGCGGAACATACATATTATTATATCGATAGGTATTGAAGCCCCCCATCGTTTGACTTACGATGATCCACCCCCCCGGGCCTGTTACACCCTGTATAAAATAAATTGTTCCTAAACTAAGCAGTTAGTCTAATAGACATTAAGGATTAACAATACATGCAGATAATTATTTATTGTAAATGCCAGTGATCCAACTGAAAACGTTAAATTAAATGACTTCAGTTGTAATAATGTTCATGCTTCTAACATTTGTCCCCTTTGAGAATCGAACCTGCAACCAGTAATAGACAGTCAAACACAAATAACAATGCAAAAGTAATTTTCTTTCTACGTAATAGCGAAGTATATTTAAGCCAGATTAGTTGGTTCACGTTGGTGAATACAATCATAATCCTGCGATTATCTAGCATTGCTGTAATGAAACCGTTTTGTGATTTATGTCTTATTTACTTTTGCCCTTTACGTTAAATCCGAAGGGCTTTCGTAGAATTTAAATAAAACAATGGTAGATTTTTGGGCCGCCGGTTGTCGTAATGTTTATATTTTCTGAACATCTGCCTACTCTAAAAGTTTGGCTGTAATGTTTTCTTTCCATTACCTATGATTTGGGGTATCTCAAAAGGGTTGAATAAAACAACAAGCCCTAAAAAAGGTTGTATTATCATAATCGACTATTTTCTAGGTATGATTGCCTTTGTGGGTTTTAAAAGCAACTTATTGTGGACTTTGAGGGGAAAATTTCCAATTTTTCTATCGAGTTCAGCCTTGTGGTGATCATGAATAAAGTATGGCTGTAATAAAATATTTATAGGCTCACAAATTCAGCGTGAAAACTGACATGTACAGTATTTTATATACAACTAACTTTTGTTCGTGTTTTCAATCTGACACAAAAACATATTATATTTGGCGCGTTCCGCATTTAATATTTGAATACAAAACCTACCTTGATTAATAATTAAACTGAAACTTCCAAGTCTAGATTAAAACTACAATATAAAAAATTGTCTTAACAAGTTTTTAATTAGTCATGCAAAGCAGAACATGTGGACAGAAAAATCTTTTCGGAAATCTATGAATATATTTATATACCCTCGGTCCAGTGTAGTACGAGACTATTCCCACCACTGCAACTCCTGTGTAGCCAGGATCTACAGCTTGACCGCCATAAAAACCCAACCAATGAAGGTCAAGTTTGTCTCGGAGAAAAGTAAAACTGTCATTGGACCCGCAACGAAATTAATCAGAAGAACATAGGAGGAGTAGTGGTCCAGTGTAGTAGTGGCGATAAGAGCTGATACCATTAGTTTCCATTTCGTCCGGACACTTCAGCCGATTATAGAAAGATATCTCTTTACTGAAGTGCTCGGTTGCACAGCGGATAACCACAAACTCTTACAAGAGCGCTTCCCGAATTGGATTTTACAGTTCATTTCGTGTTGAATTGAATGCGAAATATTCACAATTGAGAGAAGAACATTTCATTGGGTTAGGTTTTGTTCAACTTATGGAAGAATTTCAATATGAGTAAAATGGTCCCTCTGAAATCTTTGAGTAGTAATGTATAATCTAAAATCAGATAATCGAAGGGTAAGGGTATTATAACTTAAGTACTTGTGACTAATCTTAATTTTAGTATTATTCCACTTCATAAGATTCTTTCTTAATCTTGTTACGGTCCACTTGACCATGATGTTTCGCATACCAATTTACCTACGGGACCGGGTTCGATCCTCGCATCGGGCAAATGTTAGTATGAATAATGCGAGCAGGTAATGTATTGTGTTGTATTATTATTTAGTTGACATAACCACATAACTCATAAGGTCTGCTTTATATGTGGCTTGATAATAAAAGGAAGATATTCAAAACATTTGAATTGAAATTATAGCTCTCTTTTTCTCTATCTATAGCTTAGTAACAATAGAAAGTTTGATACTTCTATCGTTTTTCTTTGTTTTCCAACCCAGAATTCAGCGAAAGCCTGTTTAAACATTCACCGCACTGAAAATGGACGTAGAAAAATAATAAATAAACATTAAAGTTTTCATAAACAACAAGGATAAGTCGGAAACTTGTGTTTTTCCGTAATAGGCAGTTAAACTGCCGGCGCTAAGTATGTTAATGCGGAAACTTGGCCGACTCTCCCACTCCGATATGGTGAAGTTCGGATTTGTCCAGGAGTTTTTTTACCGTGATTTTATACTAAATAAACTATAGAAAAGTGTTCGCACTTTGCTGTAAAAAGCTTGGAGCACCGGACTAATGTAGGTTAAATCATTCATCGACTGAACTTGAGCAGTATAAAATGTGTGTTTAATGTTTCATAAATATTACCAACTAGCTGACCCGGCGAACTTCGTACCACCTTAGCGTAGAGATTTTCTTTATATTTTTTTCCGTAAAAACCTTGTACAGAGTATTAGAAAACTATAAAAAAAATCAGCCAAATCGGTCAAGCCGTTTTCATGTTATGTCGTGACAACGGAAAACGGGTTTCATTTTTATTTATATAGATAAAGAACGCGATAATTATTCAAGATGCCTATCTATTTCATACTTAATACATAGTATAAGGATGTACACCTTAACACTATATCAAGCTTAACACTATGTAGTTGTAACAATTAAGTACCTAACTATTCGAATTGGCATGTGTTGCATGTTCATTCGCCTCAGTATTTTCATGAAAGTTTTAAGTTACTAATGGAGTACCTCCATCCGTAATGTGTATAAAATTCAAAATGGGTTTTTTATTTCACACAGAAAATGCATTATAGCAGCCATTTGTAATCTGAATATGAAATAAATTTGAAAGTGCTGACGCATGCACGCAATCTATAGCCAACTTTCATCAGTAAAAAGCCGGGATTTTTGTTTCAAACTGAATTTACATAAGAACATTCTACTAGAACGTAATTGGTCGCTTCTGACGTATTAAAAAAAGATCAGTCAGTTCTGAGCGGAGCCTGTAAAACTTTTTTTGCCTTGCAATGATTTATTTATATTCACTTAGCTGAACTCCTACAAATATGAACGTGAATTTGGGTGGATGAGTGGATGTTACGCAAAGACTTTAGTTAGTCGAACTTTCAAATAATTCTCATTACAATATTTGATGCTATAATATCGTTCTTTTAACTAACAATTTACCATTTAACTATGCTACTAATATCTTAATTCAGAGAAACAACAAAATTTTCCAGCTATCTCTATAATTCGGTACGACTAACTTATATTAGCTACGACTTGTTTTGAAATGTCTGGCTGTTCTCGTTGGTCTGGTACCTGTCCCAACAGGCGAGAACACCAAACTGGCAAATTACAGCCTTTAAAGTCAAATAATTAATAAATTGAAACGTTTTCTTTGAGTACAGTGCCCTTTATGAAATACAAATTAAATCCTGTCACCGTACGAAGTACGAACCTATGTTGATTCGGGTTCCCTTAAAATGTAGCCTTTTTGATCGTACACAAGTAGCCACTTTGTAAAGGTGTACCTTTGACTATAATTAACGTTCAATGACACAACAGGCTGATTGGCAAAGATCAAATGGCACCGTGAGTCCATGTTAGGAAGAGATTTGTGATTTCTTAAGGTGAGTATAGACTAAAGCATTTTTATGCAAGTAATGTATGTAGAAATGTGTAATGTTGGATAGTCATAATTGGCCTACAAAATGTACTAAAAACATTATTATCACAGATTTATATTGTGCTGTGTACCTACTATTCTTAAATAAATAAATAAGACATACATGCGATTGTTGTCGTTATTACTACCTACAATTTACTCAAAGTTGTTTGGATATATTTTACAAACAAGGCACCAATTTATAGTTTCAGTCTAATGATGTTGAATTTTTCGTCTGCACTAGCTGGTATGCTGAATAATTCTAGAGTCACAGTTATCCCGTAAGAGGGGGACAAATGGACGGGAGCGTCGGTGAGCAAAGCCTCTTAAACAGGTTGCTCAGCCACTTAGGGTCTGGCGACCTAAAGCCGGCAGATTAGTTCGCTGGTACGTACAGGTGATAGAATGTTATAATAGAATGTTTGTGTGTGAAGCGTGTTGTGAGCTTGACAAATAACAAACAAGTGAACAACTAGTTATAATTATCAATACCTAAGTATAGATAGATTACGTAAGAGGTTCGTTTCAGCCAAATGACGTTCACTGCTGGACAAAGGCATCCCTAAAGGATTTTCGAAACGCAAGGGGTAGTATGAGAGAAAAAGGTGCAAATAATTATAGTAATTTTAATTTTTTAATACGTAATTTACTGTCAGTCAGAATAGGCTGACTGAGGATAAGGATTGCTAAACGGAATTCAAAGCCTTTAGGCGGGTAAAGGAGTATCGTCAACATACGTCAAACAAACAGGAATAACGGACGACTGCACGTAAGTCTATATATTTTAGCTGCAATAACCTAGGTAGGTATATTGCAACAGCATAAAATGTCACTGCGATATAGCTCCCAAAGACTAAAGTGAATTATGTTAGTACTACAAAATAATAAATAGTACCAACTAAAATACCTGTGTCTATGTTGCAACCGCACACGGTTGCCTCCTTGGCCGCGTGATACTGGCCACTAAGAAAATGTTCTCGACGCCCAATATCGTCTTTCTATTTTTTTTTCTCGCTCGGTCCTCGATTCCTGTGAAAAAATACTTACTTGAATTTGTAAAATATTGTAAAGTAGGAATATTATTCACGTTGTTACCCCGTAAATCGATTACTAAGTACTTATAATTACGATAACCCGAAGACCATAAACACGCAAAAATCAGGCCCATCAAATCACTACACCTAATATTTACCTTACTTTTAGCTATTAAATAGCTAAGTATCTATTAAATATCTATTCACAGTCTTGTGTATTTCAAAAATGGTATTTCGTAACACAGTCCCGTATCGGACAAAGCGACCATCCGTCAGATTCTGTGAGATTGCCCGGGGATGGATACATTTATATTTTTTTCAGGGACAACTTCGCCCTCGTGTTTCGCAATGGCCGACAAAATCGAAAGTTTGGATGTGACGTCCTGGAGAGTTTCCAATTGCCAGAACAGAAAACACATGGTACGTATTTTTAATAGCTTTTTTTTTCTTTTAAACCCAAAGACCTCTGCTGATCAAAAAGGCTTCCTCCAATTTGTTACCAACTTACACTTGTAACTTTTAAAAGTTACTTAAACACACTTTATGAATATTTTTAATACAAACAAATTAAATAAAATGATATATCACATAGCTATACTTTATTTAAAATACAAAAAAGATTTTTATTATATTGATGATAATAATTTACTCGTATCTAAGAATTCATAGAGCTCAATAACGTGTAGCTAAAATGAATTTAAATAAGTTGTAAATGAACAATTCGTCTATTCGAGTTTAAATTCGGTCTCAAGTGATGTTTCATAATTTACGATATTTCTTCGCTGTATTTTTTTTACATAATATTGAATATAATGACGACATCTTATGAGAACTCATCTAAAATGTTTCTTATCAGACTAACGCTGAGTGATTATTCTGGAATCCTCAAAACGTTTACGTTATAATATTATAATGTTTTATAGACGAGCGGTCGCGTGAGATAACAATATTCGTGTTCTTACACAAAAGAACTTAATTTACTTTTATGAGGACGGAAATAATCCTGGAAATACATTTCTGAGTCCTTTCCATTTCTGCTCGAGAACGTTAATATGGGAACTGCAGTGTAGGATAATGTTACCTAATGCGAGCATTTTTTTTAAATTCCATTAAACACAGGTTATAATGGTTACTTATTTTTACAGAGCATTCGTAGGTGTAGTAGTACGAGTACCTAATACTCGTACACGCACAATTTATTACCTAATAGGTATTTACCTAGTTCACTCATTGCATTTGTCACGATTATGACGTAACTCGCTGATTATTGATGACATGATGCAATGAACATTTATTACTATGACTATGACTATTTTCCCGATGTGCTTATGTCACCAATAGCCTTATAGTTTACAGCCTATGTGCTGTATTAATCTACATTCTAGCGAGTAGTTTTTCTTTTAATAATATCCAATTTAAGACCATGTTTCCCACTTCAATATCGCCACATAATCACATCCAGCTTCCACATTTTATAAGATCTAAGTAAGAAGACTTCATTATATCTCCCTCCTTCATCCAGTACAAAACTGAAATAAAGTATCCTTTCAAGCTATGTAAAAGCTTAAGTTAGGTCGGAAATACAGTAGCAGCTCCATAATAAGACAGGCAATAAATATGAAGGTTAGTTCCAGCGCTGAGATATTTCGTTCCCGACCACACCGACCTCGTATGTTTTTATTTCCTGTCTTCATAGAAGATGTAAGTAGGTATAAGTACATTACTTTTTTCAGAGTTGTGTATGCCATTAGAAATAATTATGTAGCGTTATTTGTTAATTACTTTGGTGTACCTACTTTAAATTTTCATTATATTTAAAGAAAAAAAAATGCATTAACGTGTCGTTAACTTCAGAGAGTACAATTTTCAGAATTTGTTTGAAAGCAAAATAGTGTACATTACATATCGCGCAAAAAGTTCTTTAGATCACGCGAAAAAGATGAATCCCATGTCTCTGGCACTGAATAAAGAAATGAATTTGGTAAAAATATTGCGAGCCATATTATTATTTCACACTGATAATTATACAGTTGTTTTTTTTTTAATATTTACTAAAAAAATATTAATGTGATGTCACAAAAATGTACACAAAACACGAGTGTAACTCGGCAAGTATTTTTCGGATAAAATATGTTTTTCACCGACCTCAAAGTATAAATCCAAAATTGTTTGCGAGAGTTTATCCCGTGGAAAAATACAAAACATTTCAAAAACAGAGAAATGATTGCAAATTAATGATGACAAATCGCAACGCGGGGCTTGTACGTACAGTACAATAATCAATAAGCAAATTGCAATTCAGTCACGTATTTCATTTCGTCAGTCATTTATTTTTCATTAATACCGTTATCAATAACATGTTTTGATTTTTCAGTATACCATAATGTTGATTCGATTGAGATGAATCTGTTTACTTATTGAAACGAATTTCACTGGAAATTTTTGGATTCTACATACCTACGTTCTATATCGAAGGTACCTATCCTAATATGGTATCTATGGGTACTGATGTTAATCCAGTGATCAGAGTATTCGCCTTCCTCGACTTGCCTTTGATTCTCTTTTGTTATAGTTAAACAATCACTAAGGTTGAGTTACACAACCTAACTTTGACGGTAACTAACGATAACCGGTGTTTATACGGTGGAATAACGAATTCGTCTTCGGAGGCTTATGACCTCCATAGATAGAATCCACACGACAGATTAGAAGATTAAAGTGAAACCAGATCACTGAACTTTCTTTATGAGTTATAAATGTGGTTATAAACATTTAAATGGGCTGAAGCAACGCTAAGCTGTAAATTATAATTCCATTGCTCTACCTCAAATAAATAATGTTGTTACTAAAATATTTCGGCACCATTTTCCTGGGATTTGATGTAGGTAAATAATTTATTAGATCCAAGAAAGAGGAAAGTGTTGCGTAAGATCCGTCTTGGGCGATAAAATATTCACGCAACGCATTTAGTTATGAAAATATACTTACACTTCCACCACAGCCACAATATAATAAGTATAACATTAGGTGCTTACTTTGATCGCTATGTTAACAACCTTATCGGTTCGTTAATTCTGTAATTATAATAGTTACGAGTAAAATTAACCTACCTATTATATCAAAACAGTTCGGCCTCTCTAGACAAAATGACATTCTTGACAGTTTTCATTCCGCAATCACTTCACTTATGGTCGTTTTCACCATCATTCCCTAATGTTTAAGTGACCCCCTTGAAAACAAAATTCATATTATGTGTTACCATAGGGGTCACTTAAAAATTAGGGATTGATGGTGAAAACGAGCATTAGGCTGAGTCTCACCACCTAACTTTAACTTTGACAAACGTCAAAAATTTATCAAAAAGCACCGGTTATCGTTATAGTTACCGTGAAAGTTAGGTGGTGCAACCCAGCCTTACTATTTTTTTGTACGAAACTTACTTTTTGTACAAATAAGAGCTATTTTGGATTCCGTGGAGGGTAGTTGAACGGGAAGCATGGTTGATCTGTTTTAATGGTTTCAATTTATTATTTAATGGACTTTAGTGTACAAATTTGGTCTTATTTTGTGTTCTAAAGTGCAGTGAAGTGATAAATTATAAAAAACATTGAAATACTTCGAATTTGAGCGCGCATCGAGTGTCGAGTGGGTTGTCGTATGAACAACCCGCTTTGGACCCGGTGGCGTCTCGAAACCTGCTTACGGGCATACTTAACTCCACGGAATCCATCAAAAATCAATAGAACTGAAACACCCACGTTCTATTGATAACTTTGTCAATTATTTTTCACTCGACATTGGCAGAAATAAACCTCCCAGAGAGGTTTGGTTGCCATTAAAAAAAAAAAAGAGCTATTTCGCTTCGCCTTCATGACAGGGCAGGGCGCGTAATATCGAATGGGTTTCTCACTGAAAACAAATTTCAGGATATCAGATTTAAATGTCCCATCAGATTAGAGTGGGTGCCCTTTTGTCACATACTTTTTGTTGCTTATTTTTGTCTTTATTTGAGTGGTGATGTATGTTTTTATACTTATACGAGTACTCGTGCTAAAAAAAGGTTAAGGAACTTGAAACCCTACATCATATTACTGCCTCAGTTGTTTCGCTATTAGATTACCGTCTATATAACTCAATTCGTGACGAGAAACTCATTTAATTAGAAAGATCTTTCTCACGTATTTTCTCAGAACTGTGATTGAGAGGCATAGGTAATTAACAACGTATCGTCATATTCGCACCGTTTGCCAGTTGCGTGATATCATGTATGCCTTAGATATTACATCTTATTAGATTACGAGACAGTGAAACGTTGTTATTTATATATTTCTTTGTCGATTTGGTACGTCGTTATTTAATAAACAGTACCTATATGTAGATACTAGCGGTCGCCCGCGACTTTGTACGCGTGGATCCCGTTTTACCCCCTTAGGTGTGGAGTTTCGTTAAATCCTTTTGAGGTTTCGTGGATGCCTACGTCATAACATCTACTTACGTGCACGCCAAATTGGTCCAGTGGTTTGGGCTGTGCTTTGATAGATCACTATGTCAGTCAGTCAGTCAGTCACCTTTAAGTTTATAAGAGTGTGAACTTGTTAACACAAGTAGCCCTTATTCTATTTCATGTACTCAAAGTCAAAGTCAAAGTCAAAATTTCTTTATTTGTTTAGACTAATAAATAGTTCTTACAAATCGTCATTTTGCTCTTAAGGAGCCTCTACATGTCTCATAATCTTTTTACCCTACCAGCGCTTCGAGACCAACATTTGGCAAGTGCTGAGAAGAAGCGCCGCAACAAACTCAGTCACCACTGTCTGCCGGTTAATATAAATAAATAGAAATAGCAGTAGTAGGTACATTCGATTCAGGAGCAGTTCACTGAATTTACCATGCATTCTTGTATAGTGTATCTTATAAGAATGGGTATACAAAATTGCGTGGCATATTAAACAAGGTAGTGACGTGCTAATATCTAGACTTACAGATTACATACTCAAATACTAGTAGAAATGACTCGCATACCTACATAAGTTGACTCAATAGAAGATCGCAAAGTCACGTGACTTATCGATGACGACCTTTTAAAAGGATCCTGTGTAACGCTCCTTGACCGAGCGCAAAATTCCAATCACTTTAACAGCATTCGGAATCGCTGACCCAAGCCGTTTCCCATTTGATATAAAATAATGAATGGACTTCATAAAACGAACATTCTTACCATAAAATACTTTTTATCCGCAGATGGCTGAAATGGTTTCCCTCTAGCCACCAAGAAACAAATATATTGCGATTTGCTCCTTCATTTTCTCGCAAGGTATTTTATTGCTTTGGGGTCTCTCATAAATTCCGTACTCACTCAAAGAGAAAAATAAGGTCTAGTCGCCTCGGAAGAAATTGGTGCGAAAATTTCTTATTAGTTT